TTTTGTGTGTGCTGCACCGCAGCTTCCATGAACTTGCACGCACGATATTTGTGCAGCGCCAACAACGCGAGCAGGACGGACGCGACGTCCCATCCGCCCGAAGACCGCAATGTTTCACTTGCGTTCGATAGGATGATGTCATATAAGCTTTCGTTGATGATATGAAGACGGGATGCCTGCAATCGTCGCGACCGACATGCGGGCGAGGTCGCAGAGTTGACTTGGGGAGTAGGGGCCACCAGTGTCGACGTAGTGGTGGTGGAGTTATCTGGGTCATCGTTGTAAGTGGAAGAGATGAAGTCGTCGCTGGCGCTTGGATCGTCGACATCGACGGGGCGGCTGCCGATGCGACGCGGCTAGTACTTGGCATCGGTTCGGTGGCGTCGCAGACTTGTGTACGACGTGGACGCATTCAAGGACCGTGCGCAACGATGCTTCGCTTGCTAGGCCACTCAAGTTGATGTCGACTCAGGACTCGATGGAGCATCGAGGCCAGAGATCTCGGTCTGGCATTTCGCCTCGATCGCAGGGAGGACGGTGAGCTCGGCTGCCGAAGCCCCCGTGACTCTTGCCCCAAAGCAGTTTTACGTCAGCCTAACCCTAGGTAATTCTTCATCCAGCAGGTTTTTTATTTTAACGTGTTGAGATAGTACACGTCGACAGGCAGTTCAAAGTGCGACATGGCGGGATTCTTTTAAATACGCTCCACATGGTACGCCCTGCTCCTTGGATTGCATGCCAAGCAAGTCAATTCGCGCGTTTTGCGATTCGTCGGTGTCTCGGGTGCTCGGGTGGATTCACAACTGTACCGACAGGTCCGTCGCCTTTCGTACTCAGATTGGAATCGTGGTTTAACGCGAACGCGTTTTGGTCTTTTCTTCTGTACGTAGTACTACAAAATACATAAGTACTACTACTACTATCTTCATAAGTACCCCTGCACATAACCCGTCAAGCCAGGCGTGGACGGCACAACTCGACAGCGTTCGAAGGAGGCGGTCAACTAGGCTGCACTTCAATCCTTTCACTTTCCCTTTCGCTGGTCTTCCACACGGCGCCGTCTTCCCCTGCTGGCGGTCGCCGCCTCTCGGCCTTGGTCGGGTCACACTGTACTGTATTATGGGAAGCACGCCATTCCTCCTCCCTACAGTGTCGCGTCCACAAGCGTGCACGAGGGCCCGCCGGCAATGCATCCATGCCAAGCAGCGTCCCCTCCCTGTGTGGTGTTATGTCTCGTGCTCAAGCACCGAATGCAGCGCCGCGAAGTCGCGGCGACAGGCGTCGATGGCGCGGCAAATCCCCACGGAAATACCCGGGCGGCGGAAATTCCCTTATTTCAGAACGGTTACTTACCCCCAAGAAAAACGGCCAAAAGGCCGACAGGAGGAGGGGTCACTTTCGATTGCCGCCGCCCAGCATGACCGTGACCGACTTGATTCTGCTCGCGCAAGTGACCGAGGCGGACGTGACCAGGGAGCTGTCGGCCCGCTACCAAGCGAACGACATCTACACGTACATCGGTCCCGTCCTGATCGCGGTCAACCCGTACAAGCTGATCAAGCGGAACGGCAGGTCCATCTACGACGAGTCGGTGATCGAAGACTTTTCCGGCCGCGAAATACACGAGAACGACCCGCATCCGTTTGCGATTGCCGAGAGCGCGTACTCGCACATGATCAACTTTAAGGCGAACCAGTGCATCTTGATCACGGGCGAGTCGGGCAGTGGCAAGACCGAAACGTCCAAGCACGTCCTCCAGTACATCGCCAACATCAGTACCAAGGCGCGGACGCGCTTGGCGGTCAACCAGTCGCGGTACGACGATATGACGACATCTCCTCGATCGAGGGTTTTCGCCCGTCCCCGATGCACACTGATCTCCTCGACGCGATCTCTCTCGATAGGCAACTCACGGACGACAAAAAGCACGCGATCGATGAAGTCGTCAACAACGTCCGCCGCATCCTGATTCGAGCCAACCCGGTGCTGGAAGCGTTCGGGAACGCGCAGACGATCCGAAACAACAACTCGTCCCGGTTTGGCAAGTACATGCTGCTCCAGCTCAACCCGAGCGGCCAAGTCGTCGGCGGGTTTGTCCACAACTACCTGCTCGAGAAAAACCGCGTGATCACGCAAGCGGTCGGCGAGCGCAACTTTCATTGCTTTTACCACCTCCTCGCCGGCGCGTCCAAAGCGGACAAGGCCGAGTGGCACCTCGAGGACGCGACCAAGTACGCGTTCCTCCAGCATGAAAACCGCACGATCGACGGCGTGAACGATCGCACCGAGTTTGCCGACCTCGCGCACCACATGACCGCCGTCGGCATCACGGACGTCGAGCAGCGCGACATTTACCAGCAGCTCGCGGCCATCTTGCACCTCGGCAACGTCGTATTTGTGCCGCAAGTAGACGCGAGCCACAACCCGTGCTGTGTCATCCACGTACGTCCTACGCAATGTCGTGTGTGGTGGTTGTGTGGGAATGGGTGTGTGAATGCAAGGGCTGGCACCGATCCCAAAGGCGCGCCAGCGCCATGCGACTGGCGCGTGGCATACATTGGCCTGGAATGCACGCTCCGCCACTTCTCTGCGAGCGGGTCGTGCTGCACCGCGAGCGTCGGCCACCGTTCGACCTTGGATCCTTCTCTTCCCTCGACGATATTCCCTCCGAGAAGGATGGGTTGCCGTGAAATTCAGTCACGATAGGCATGTGTGTGTTGTATAGCCCGAGACGAAGCAAGCGCTGCAACTTGGCGCCAAGCTGATGGGGGTATCGGCCGACAGCTTGGAGGACATGTTTACGTTCAAGTCGCTCACGATCAACCGGTCCGAGATGCGGGTCCCGCTGACGGCGGCTCAAGGTACCACGTCCGTCGAGCGCTTCTCGGAAACACCCCGGATGTTGCTGACCGTCCGTTTGTAGGCGAGAAAGTTCTCCACAGTGTCGTGCGATGCGTGTACGACAACATCTTTACGTGGCTCGTCGAAAAGGTCAACAGAGGCATCCACAATCCGCGCCGGGCGTCCCAAACGATCGGGATCTTGGACATCTACGGGTTTGAGATTTTCCAGGAAAACGTGTTTGAGCAACTGTGCATCAACTACGTCAACGAAAAGCTCCAGCAGCTCTTCATCTCGCAGACGCTGCAGAGCGAGCAGCTCGAGTACAAGCGCGAGGGCATTGCGTGGGTCAACATTGAGTTTTTCAACAACCAGGTAGAATCGCGCGTGTGGCTCGCGGCATGACTTGTGTGTGTGTGTTGGCAGGTCGTGTGCGACTTGATCGAAGATGCCAAGATGCCCGGGATCCTGCCGCTCCTGGACGAACAATGCGCGATTTCGCAAACGTCGGTGGACGTCCTCATGCACCGATTCAACGAAACATTCGCCAAACAGCCGCACTACATCAAGTCCCGCGTCAAGGGCAGCGTGTTTAGCGTGCGCCATTACGCTGGTACGACATTTTGGGTGGCGATCTGTCCGCGTGACGTGTTGCGGAATCGCAGGCGTCGTCGAGTACGACTTGACTCGGTTTGCCGAGGCCAACATTGACTCGTTCTTCACCGAGTTGTACACGGAGCTCCAAAAGTCGACGAGCAGCTTTGTTCGCAACCTCCTTCGCGACGATCGGTCCAAGAAAGAAAAGCTCAAGCGGCCGCCATCCACGTCGTTCCAGTTCCGCGCGCAAGTCAATGCGCTTGTCCAGGACCTCAACATGTGCAACCCCCACTACGTCCGGTACGACGCAGTCCTTTTGCTGGCGTTGGATGGTTTGGTCGCGTGGCGATGGCCGTCGAGAGCGTTTCTCGATCGTGATGTCCATGACCAACACACCTGACGTGCTCCTTTTTTTGTGTGTGTGTCTCTCGCCGCTCGTACACTGGGAGATGGACCTCACCCCTGCGTCGTCATGCAGGTGCATCAAGCCCAACGAGAAGAAAATGTCGGGCACGATAAACAAGGAGCTTGTGTCGGCACAAGTCCACTGCCTTGGCCTTGTTGAAAACATCCGCGTCCGTCGAGCCGGGTTTTGCTACCGCGAAACGTACGCCACGTTTCTTCACCGGTACAAAATACTGTCGCGCACGTCGTGGCCGGCCCCCAAGAACTGCTCCACGGTACTACCGCCACCCATTCCTACTTTTCTTGGACGCAACTGACGTGGTCTCTGCATGCAGCGCCAAGCCACGTTGGAGTTGCTGACCGCGGACGACGTCGGCGTCCTCCCCAGCCTGCAGCCCGTGTCTGTCCAGCGGGAAGCGGAAGCGAGTGGCGGCAAGCGCCCCATGACGCCCCTCGAAGTGTACCGCGCGCACTTGGCCGCCAAGAACAACAAACCGATCGACGGAAAGGAGACGCAACAAACCATTATCCCGTTCAAGGAAGACATCGAGTCGCTCGGGTGTTTTTCACTCGGCCGAAACAAAGTCTTTATCAAGCACCCCGCCGCCCTTTTTTCGCTCGAGCGGCTGCGTCAAGACAAGCTGCCGCAGATCGCGAAAATCATCGAAGCTGCATGGATTCGTCGACTGGTACGTCCTGGGTTGGTCTGCCACGAAGACGGCGCTTCGAGTTTTCATCGTCGAGGTATAGCTCCGCGCCCGGTTGGCAAAATACGCCGTCGTGTACGCCGACTTGAACAAGCGGTACACGGCAGTCGTTGATAACTTGCAGGCACGTTCATCCCGACGAGAGCGCGTGCAAGGGCGACAAAGCACGCATCCGATGGATGTCGTGAACCTGACAGAAATGGATGGCTAGGATCGTTTGAAGCGCCGCCAAGGCGCCGCGGACAAAGCCAAAGTCGCGGCCTTGTACGCGCACTGGAACGACCTGGCGTCCAAGTTGCTCTTGCCGACGTCGCGCCTGCACGCGCGCCTCGCACGGGACGAAGTATACAACGCGGCGAGTTTCCTGACCAGCCACATCAAGCGCAACCTGGCCGTGCGCAAACTCGAGCGTCTCAAGAAAGCCGTCCAGGTGTTCAGTTCTCGGTGGAAGGGCCGCCAAACGCGGCGCCGCATGTCGCCGGACCTCGCGCAAAAGTGCTATCGCGCCATGCTCGGCATCCGCACCGAGTTTGAACGGTGCGCCAGTCTTGGACAAGACCGGGACTCATCCTGGTGGTGGTTGCTTCGTGCATAGGTTGTTTGGAAAGAAGAAGCGCCGCCGCGACACGTTGGATCGGGTCTACTTGGGCGATTACTTGGACCTGAACAAGCACGCACCGATCCAGGCGCTGCTGACAGCAACCAAGGAGCGCCAGGTCCTGTTCGCCGGAGTCACGCTCAAGGTCAACGAAAAGTACGTGATCGAGATTGGATGGACCGCGCGCAGCTTGACGGAATGGGTGGCTGTCGAAATAGGTTTGTCGCGCAGTCGCGGCTCCTCCTCATCGGGGAAACGGCCCTCCACAACGTCAAGGCGGACAAGATGGACAAACCCAAAGAACGCCGCGTCGTCCCGATCACACAGCTCACGAAAATCTCGATGAGCTCGCTCCATGACAATTACTTGTTCATCCACGTCGACAACGACGTCGACCTCATGTACGAAGTTGACCAGAAGACCGAGATCGTCCTCGTGCTCAAGAAGCGGTGCGTCCTACACGTCGTCTGGACATGGCGTCATGACGGTTGATGTGGGCATGGTAGGTACAAGGAACTGCGCAAGCGCGACCTTCCCATCACGATCTCGGACACGATCGAGTTTGAGGCGAAGAAAGGCACGCGGTTGGCGTTCCGATTTGTAAAGAACCCTCAAACGACCGTCACCACCATGGAAAAGGTGGACAAGAAGAACGGGCAAGTCAACGTCGGCACCAAGGTCGCGCGCCACTAAGTGCTTCAAGGCGTTGTTGTGCATCCGTAGCTACAGTCGCAAACGTTGCCACGCACGCCTTGTGACGGCGGCGCTCGCGACTGGTTTATGTGTTGGCCCGCTATTGCCACCACATGAAATGCATCGATGTTTGTGTACCTTGGCGCGGAAGGCGTCTCGTTGATGGAAATCTTGATCGCACACCATGCCGATTCATAAAGTTCTCGTGAATGAAGCCGTCCCCGAGATGCTGCATCCGCCTAGTATAGCAAGGACCGCCTCGAGCCGTCGCCGACCAGAATCCCGCGGCAGCAGACTTTTGGTGGGTGTGTTCTTTATCCGGATTCCGGTTACGGACGCCAAGAAATACGTCTTGTCGAGTCATGAATGGCCTCAAGTTCCCCGCAAGGGTGGCGGCGGCAGCGCTGGCGCGTCGCAGCGTCAGTCGAGGAGGCAGCATGCGCGTGGGATATGCGTTTCGAGCCGTGTCTACGTATGGCTATGCCGACGCGCCCGTGGAAGCAGTGAAACGAAGCAACGTACACAAGAAGTCGGCTGTTGAAGTCCAGCTCGAGGAAGCGATCACTCGCGACGACGACGAGTTGTCCCCAACGGGCATCCTCCTAGCGCTGACGCAAGGCGTTGGAACCGTGTCGGGTCTCCGCGACGCGTCGCTCAACTCGACTGTCCACGTGTTTGACGAAGCACGCCAAGTGGTGCGTGCTGCAGTCGAGGCGTCTGCTCATGTGTTCCTCGTGCTGTAGGTTGGCCAAGGTGTCGTGCTGCATCTCCAGAAGAAACGTGCTGTCGTTGCGTTTGTTGGCGACGCCAGTCGATTGTCCCTTGGCATGGAAGTCGAGCTCATCGACAATGACTTGACGATTCCCGTCGGTGCCAACCTCCTTGGCCGTGTGGTGGATCCATTGGGTCGGTCCATGGATGATGCACCGCCGCTTGCGCCATCTACGCCTCGGCTTACGTGCATGCGCAGCACGATTCCATCCATGTTGGATCGTGGCATGCTCAAAGAACCATGGGCCACCGGCATTCAAGTCATCGACTGCCTCCATCCTCTCGCCTATGGGCACCGTTTTGGCATCTTGGGACCTCGGTACGTTGGCAGCATAGACAGAACGACGGACGGATTGGTATGACATAGAGCGTCCTTGCATGCTGTCCGTCAGTGTGCATCATGCTTCACACCTCATTTGCCGTGTCATGGTGGCTGACGTCAATGGTTTCTCCTGCAACAGAGGCAGCGGCAAGACGCGACTGGCTCTTGACATCCTCGCACAACAAGTCCTTCGCGCCAAGCACCTCCAGGACACCGCGTCGATGCCTCGCATTGTATATGTCGCTGTGGGCAAGGCGCCCGCCCGCGTGACGCAAATCCTGCAGCTCTTGACCCAGCTCGACCTTTTGCCTTACTGCACGATCGTCGCAGCGGACGACCGCCAGCCATTGATCATGCAATACTTGGCGCCGTTTGCCGGGTGCCGCATCGCCGAGTCGTGGCTGAACGAAGGCGTGACCAAGAACGCGATCGTTGTCTACGACGATTTGTCCGCACACACGATGGTTGGGTCCCAAACGTACCGAAAGCACCAAACTCTGTGCTGTCGTAGGCGGTGGAGCAATTGATTCACATGATCAAGCTGCCGAAAGCAGCCCGCCTGAGCTTCAGCGGCCACACCAACCTCATGGAGCGATCGACGCAGTTTTCAGAGAAGCGAGGCGGCACGTCGTTGACATCCCTCGTCCTGGCCGATACGCCTGGGAAGGAAGATGCTGCCAGCGGTAAAGAGAACATCCTGCTTCGCCACGCCATCTACTTCGGCGATATGTACCCATCTCTCTCTCGTCGTGATAGTGCTTCAAGAAGGCCTCATCTCGATCGTCGATGACCACGTCGTGTTGGATGCGAGCTTGACGCTTCGTCGAGTAGGTCCTTTCACCCGTCGCGCCATCGACGTTGGGGACGTCCGTCCAGTGGCACAACCTGACGCCCCAACTTTGAATGGCTGCAAAAACAAACACCAATGCACTGACGAATCGAGTGTAGGTATATCCCGCGATCGACTGCTTGGCGCCGGGTACGTCGGTTCGCGGCCCGCCTTTTCAACGCGCGGCGCTGTGGAAGTGCATGCAGCACATCCGGGCGACCATCATCGAAGGCCACACTGTCCAGGAAAACGTGGCACTGGCCAAAGGATTCGGCTTCGACACCGAGCCTGAAGACCAGGAAATTCTCGACTCGCGCGAGTTGGTCCAAGAGTTCTTTGTTCAGGTACAAGGAGTGGCTGTCGACGATGGTGTTTGGCATGGTGGGCAAGTTTGCGCTTGTGTGTCGCTGGCAACGACCGCGTCGTTGTCAGTGCATGTGTCTGTCTTCCCGTCTGTTGCGATCGTCACCGTCGCGCGTGCCGTAGCGACCTTTCCATCGCCTCGACGAAGATGCCGTGCTGCTGGGGGCGTTTGTTTTGGCGCACCATCACGTGCTGACGCGGCTTCCACAAAAGGTGTCGGTGTGGGATGCCATTCACCATGTTCAGCGCACCTTGCCGGACGACCTGAAAGCCCGACTCGATGGTACGCAGTCGTCGATCCCGTGAACGAGATCGTCCGAGACCTCAGGCGTTTGTCTCGGTAGTGTGTCCCCGAAACGAGTGCTGGTCGGACGCGTTGGTCGACGACTTGTACTCGTTTGTCGTGTCGACGATTCGAGCCAAGTACGTCCGCGCGCCAAAGTAACCTGGCACGAGCTCCTCCACGTGCGCATCCAAACCAGAGAGACAATAGAATGCGATGTTGCCATGCATGGTTTTCAATGTGGCATGCCGGCAGCGATAGCCCATATGCAGCCCGCCGCCATCTACGACCGACAATAGAATGCGATGTTGCCATGCATGGTCCTGCGTCGCGCACGACCGACAGATATCTCGTTTCAATGTGGCATGCCGGCAGCGATAGCCCATATGCAGCCCGCCGCCATCTACGACCGGACATGCTCTACGTCGAAAGTGTACGAAAGGACCCCTTCGGACGCGTCAAAGGCGACGCCGGCCGTCATTTCGACCGCCCGTTGCTGGAACGACGACGACGACGCGTGCGTCGACGCATTCGATCGAGGGAGAAAGCGGACGGCTTGCTTGGCGTGTACGACACTCGGTCCGGTCGAAACATGGTAGTGGCCGGCCATGTCGAGTTGGTAATCGACCCACACAATCACGGCATTCACCGCCGACGTGACGGGTACGCGAATCGACGCGTCGAATCGCGCGATGGGCTCCATAAAGTTGAGCGGCATCACGTCAAACACGGGCGTCCCCGCCGTGTACGAGTACATGTACGTGGGAAATGGAAAGTCCCGGGCGAGATATCCTCCTTGCAGCGCGTCAAACGGGGCGTGGTCGAACCCGCTGACGTGCTCGACGGTCCCAAAGCACTCGTGCAAGTGGTCAAAGCGCACGCCCATGGCCCGGATGAATCCTCGATACGGGAGCACCACGGCGCGTGCCGACAACAGATCTATTCGCAACACGACGTCGTCAGTCTTACCCAGCCACGACTTGTAGCTGACAGAGAGATGCACGTACGAGACACAGCACTGCGGCGGTACCAAAAGTTGAGCGCTTGCCATGTGGGTAGGTTCTGCATGGCATAGTAGAAAGGCTCGCCGACAAGGATATCCACGGGTGCTTCTCCGTGCAAGTGTTCAACGAGGAGGCCCTTGACACCGCAGCCGAGAATCGTCAGCCGGTCGTCCAGGTTGTGCCGCGTTGCAATCTGCTGGAAGATCAAGGCCGACACCTCCTTCGACTCGATGCTTGTGATGTTGGCCACGTCGGGCAAAGCCGCCGCCAGCAGCGCAACCAGCGATCCGTCGCTGACGTCGAGACACGACTTTTGGTTGTCTGGTGCTGCGTGGAGCCCGGCGACGATCGCACGCAGCGCGTCGGCATAGGCTTCGGTGCGCGCCATGTTGGTGAGCATGCTCACGCGCTCGGCATTGCAAATCAAATGGAGCCCGCACGTGCACGAAGGAACCATTGCGTCGTCATCGACCTTGGCCCGTTTGTTGGATGGGGACTCGGCGGTCTTGTTCGAGACATCAAACCACACGCGGAGAGAGTCCGAGTGGGCTGTGAGTTCCACGGCGTCCCCTTTCGCCACATGCTGCTGCGCTGTCAGTGGAAATACCACAGGCACCCAGTGATCTTGCCAGTTCTGCGCGCCGCTTTCGGTCGAGTACGCGACGCCGTCGCCGAAATCGACGCTCCACCACATGACAATCGCATCGATGCGTCCGCTTGCTTGCGCAGTCACACCTGTCACGTTTTTCTTGGACGACGTGGCGATCGCAGCCGAGTCGTTTTGGCCAAAGTCAAACGAGAGCACTGGCACAACGGGGGTCAAGTCGACGCGGTTCTCGACGTAGTCGTTCTCGATGTGCAGCGGCAGTGCAACGCGGCCGCCGCCGGTGCACTTCCACGCTTCCGCCGAGCGAGCGAGTGCAAACTTATCCACGTGGACCTGGTCAAAGCTGTTCATGCGGAACAACGTGTCCGATGCGACGAGTTTTGCGTACACCGTGGCGTGCTGGGGAATGACGATGGCGTCGGGGGCCAAGAGATGGGCTCTCGCGTGAGCCAGCGTCGGGAGGAGACCTTCACCGAGAAGTAGCGAGTCGAATAGCTCCGACACCATCATGTCGGCGCGAACTGGCAGGTGGGTTGGGACTCTCAAGTCGGTGGACCGAAGCGGAAAGACTGTGATGGTGTCGGCAAAACCGTTGGCGTCGATCACGTCTTGGGCAATGCCTGCCATGGTCTCGAACATCTCACAGGCGTACACGTGCTCGGCGCCGTGGCGCGCGGCCAACATGGCCTAGCGACGAATTAGTTGGAATCGGTTGAGGTTGGTACGGGAGGAAGGGGGGTCTTACAAGCAGGCCAGTGCCAGTCCCAATGTCCAAGACCTAAATCACCATATTGACCCAGATCGTGTGACCAGGAATGAGCGTACGATCGGACGGCGGTTGTGCGTGGCCATGAACTGCTCGATGCCGCGCCGAATGCCGTGCTCGTACGCGGCGTTGCGATCCAAGTCGCGCAGCATGGACGTCATCTGGGACATGGACACAACGTTCTTGTATGTTTCGGCCGAGTCTTCTTCCTCCACCCACATCAATCCACCGTATTCGGGATTCAACCGCGACGACAAAACGACCGAGCTCGTGCCTTCCACGACCTCGTTTGTGTCCTCGTCCAAGTACGAGTACGGGACGCTCGTGACCACCGTTTCTTCGGCGCTCGCTGTGTCCAGAATGTCTTCCAAGTTGGGCGCGGCCGCCTCGGCATCCTTGAAGTCTTCGCCGACGACACCGCCGCCGTACTTGTCTGTTCCGGCGTACATGCTAACCAGTCTTGCTGTCCACGACGACGCTCACATTTGATTGGTAAGTCTCGAATTTTCATGGATTTTTTCTATCCAATCATTGAATTTCTAGAGGTTTATTGAGAGGACGTGGCCGTGCGAGAGAAAACGAACCGAAAAAAGCTTGCTGCCTGCCCCATTGCCGCCCGTCGCATGATGGGTCTGGGGGACGACTTGCCCCACCGAGCCACCTCCTCCACGCAAGCCGCGGGCGCTGAACCGACCAGGAACTGCCAGTGAATCCCACAGCGTCACACCAGTCGGGAAGACGGCGCCAAGGCTGTGGTGTGCATGTGTGAAGCCATCGTGTATACCAACAGCAGCGCTACCCCCGCCACGTCGACGATGCAGCGCGACGGCAAGCATATCGAGGTCCCCTACAACCAAAACTACCTTCGCTTCACGCGAATCGAATGCTGCGGCGACACCTACTCGCGTGCACTCTTGAGCGAATTGAGAACTGTTCGGTTTCCAGCCACGACTGCAACTGCGCAAGCAGCCACCATACATGCAATGAACACATCTTAAAAGCAAAACCCTCGACAGCGAGCACATTCGCGGGAGACTATCCGATGCGGGCGTTGGTCAGCGTCTTGGAAACGACCGGGCCCGCCGACGTTTGAATGACGTGGCCCTTGTACGTGCCTTCACGCTTGTCGTTGGTCTGGAGGTCCACACTCAACTTTTCCCAGATCTTTTGCTTCTTCATCTGGCCTTCCGACACGGGGTCGCCCGACTCGGTCGCGATAAACACGCGCTCGCCATTTGCGGCCCCCGCCGGCGGCTCGATGAATTCGACGACATCATGGGCTTCGTTGGACGCGCACAGCACCATACCATTCGACTTGAAGCCCGCGAGTTTGGCCGCCTTGATGTTGAGAAGGACGAGGCATCGACGCCCCGTCATGTCGTCAAGCGAGTAAAACGGACGCAGCCCCGACGCAATCTGGACAGGGCCCGTCTCGAACCCGACGTCGATTTCTTCGCAAAAGAGCTTGTCGCTATCAGGGTGATGCCACGCCTTCACGATCGTGCCGACGCGGATGTCGCACGACGCAAACAGAGGAAGGTCCTCCTTGGCTTTCTTCACGACGGGCGGCGCGGCGGCGGCAGCCTGCTTGGACGCGAGGGCGGCGAGCTCTGCCTCCGACTTGAGCTAGAACACACACAAGTCAGGAATGCCACACAGGTCGAGCTCAACCTTTTCAAACAAAATGTCGTCCTTGGTCACTTCCTTGATCGGCGTGCCAGGCGTCAAGTTGTTGAAATCGTTGCTGAGCAACGGCAACGTCGTCGGCGCCGTGTGCAAGAACTCAAACACACGCGCCGCCGTGGCCGGCATGAACGGCACCATATAGTGCGCAAACACGTAGATCGCTTCCAAGATCTACCATGCCGCCGTCAAGCGTTCGTGCGCAGCGCAAACCACATACCGTGCGCACAACCACTTTCTTCTCGTGGTCGTCCGTCATGTGCCATGGGGCTGCCGTCGTCAAGTACCCGTTCGTGGCCCGCACAACTTCCATGAATCGGAATGCCGCTTCCTGCAGCGCATACGCTTGGAATGCCTACGAGACATCGGATGGTTGAGCGCCGCGCGCCAAGAATCACGCCACCGATCGTGAGATTGATCCACAATACCAACCCTCGCTCAGTCACCACTCGCAGCGTCCTCCATTACCTCTTCCGTCGCCGCCTTGAGCGCCGCCACATCGAAGCAAGGCGTCGCCGCCACATCCGGGACGTGGCCGTTGGTGTACTTGACGCTCAGAGTTAACCCACGGTGGACGAGGTTGCCGAGGGTGTCGTTCAATTCAGCGTTGTGGATGTTGAAAAACTCGTCTTCGGAAAACGGCATGTCCGAGCCGTACTTGGCGCCGCGGACGAGGAAATACCGGAACGAATCGACGCCGTACTACTCCAGCATCGTGATGGGTGGTAGCCACCTTTCGAGTTTCGTACCTTTTGGATCATGTCGTACGGGTCGACGACATTCCCGATCGACTTGCTCATCTTGGTGCCGTCGCGGGCGTTCACAAACCCGTGGGCAAACACGCGTGTCGGCAGCGGAAACCCCGCGCTCATGAGGATGCACGGCCAAATGACACAATGGAACCACGTGATGTCCTTGCCGATGATGTGGACGCTGGCCGGCCAGTACTTGGCCAGCGCGCCGTTCGGATAGTCAATGCCGCTCAAGTAGTTGGACAGCGCGTCAAACCAAACGTACATGACGTGCGCGGGGTCGTTTGGGAGCGGCACACCGTGACTGAAGGTTGTACGCGACGCGCTCAGGTCGAGGAGCGGCTCTTCCAGCCGCTTCAAGATGATCTGGCGGTGGTTCTCTGGCTGCAAGAACTCGGGGTGCGCGTGGTAGTGGGCAATCAGCCGTTCCTGGTACTTGGACATGCGGAAAAAGTAGGACGACTCTTGCATCTTCTTGAGCGGCGTTCCTGTCGTCGGGTCCTTGTAGTTGATCAGCGCCGCTTCGTTTTCCGTCACAAACGTTTCTTCGCGGACGTTGTACCATCCCTCGTACGTGCCCTTGTAAATGTCGCCGTTCGCTTCGGCCTTGGCAAAAATGAGCTGCGCAAACTCCTTGTGCTGCTTGCTCGTCGTGCGGATAAAGTGGTCGTTCGACATGTTGAGGTCCTTCGCGAGCTGCTGGAAGATGCCAGAGTACTTGTCGCACAGTTCAATGGGGGATATACCCTGCGTTTCCGCCGTCTGCGCGATCTTTTGACCGTGTTCGTCCGTGCCCGTCAAGAAGAACACGTCGCGGCCGTACGTGCGGTGGTACCGCGCAATCACGTCCGACGTCACATTCTCGTACGCGTGGCCCATGTGCGGTTGTCCGTTCGTGTAATGGATAGCCGTCGTGATGTAAAACTTCTCGTTGCTGGCAGGGGTCACGCCATTCAGCTTGACATCCGACACGTCCAGCGCCGCCACCTTGTCCTTCAATGCGTCCATGACGAAACCACAGAAAATGCGTTGTGCCAGTCACAAATTCAATTCGGCACTTGCCGAATTTGAAAATTCGGACGCCTCGTTTAGGATTTCCGGAGTGTTGGTGGACGACCGACATCCACAATGTTGAAGTGCAAAAATTTCGCGGTGCTCGTTCGGGCTGCGCCGCCACAACGAGCGAGCGCCGCTGCTGAGACAAACAAATCGTGTGACCAGGAGCGATCGAATGCACGTTGCGAGAACGGATTCATGGCCCTTGCTGTCGTAGACTAGATTGTGGCACGGAGTTGAAGGTTCTCCTGGTCCGACTGGACGCTGGGTCCACCATCACTGGGATTTGCCATAACGATGAGTGGTGTCGAGAAAGAGAATCGGATCCTTGGAATCGTTCCAATCTTGAGAGCGTACGATTGGTATGCCACTGCCCCATTCGAGGGCAAAACCCCTTGAGAGCATTGGAATCTCCGCCACGGAGGTGCTGTCCGCGATGGGCACCACAATTGCATGGCGTGCGCTCTCGGGCCAAGCATGGAGACATGCAAGTGACAAGGAAGGCGCTCCATCCCATGGCGTCAAATTGCAATTCGTTCTGCATTGGGCATACACTTGTGATGCTCTACGCGTTGGGCAGGCGCTGTGGGAGGTGCGCATGCAGGTCGACCCGGTAGAAGAATTCTCGTTTGATCTTGATACGCAACAAACGCTACATGGGCGACACGGTCGCTGGATTCCGTCGTGGCACGGCCGTCGCGGATTTCTCGACCAGCTCAACGTGCATCCGTTTGGCAGCTTGTTGCATTTCCACGACAGCGTTCTAGCGAGCATACGACACTCAGATGCATGGCCACGAGCGTGATATGCACCACTGACCTTGTACTTGGGATTGGCTTCAATGTTGTACGTCTTGACTGGAGCGGTGAACGCTTCCCATGTGAGCATGCGGTCGCCAGCGTCTCGCGTCGCCGTGTGGACGAGCCACTTTCGAATGAGCACCCCCGTCGCTGGCACCCGCTCGAATCCTTTTTCTCGGTCGATTTTGGCCTTGATCGGGACCGTCTTTTCAAAGTACCCGGTGAAGTCTGGGTACTGCGGGATCGTGCTGCCATCGTCCGACGCGCCATATTGCTTGCGCAGGCACAACTTGCGAAGGCTCGCGACAGCGGATGCCCCGAGAAGCGACACAAGCTGCAAGACGAGCCCGACTGTCTTGTCCAGGATAGGCCACAGCAGAGCCCGAATGAACTGAGACAGAAAGACTGAACATGCCGCCATGACAAACATGGCAAACATTGGAAACACGTTCGTGCGAAAGATCTTGGATGCGAGGCCGTGGCGCCCGAGCGGGTCGTACTTGGCCACGATGTCGCGAAACGATTCGTAAATTTCGTTGACGTCCGTGACAGCGTTGCCGTGGTTGAGCCCGAGGCTGGTCAGGACCCACGTCACGTCCAACAAGTTGGAGCGCAAAAACTGGTTGTTTCCGTACATCCACGTTGAAAACCCGAGATGGAGGAGCAGCGCAAACGGCAGCATCGAAAACGCCAGCTTCCCCAGCGCCTACGCTCAGTTTGAAGCGCTCCGTTTGCGGCGCTGGCCTTACCTCGTCGTATGCCGTGCGAATCGAGTACAGCCGCATCAGCGTGAGCTTGTCGCAACAATACGTAATCAAGCAGGACGCAGCGGCGATTGGGAGCAGGACGGGTATGCCGCCGCAGTACATCATCGTGACGAACACGGTGTTGAGCACCAGGGGGTACCTACACCGCAATCACCAAGATGCAGCGAGAGCCACGAGGAGGCGGCGCACCGGAGGGATATGTCAAATGGCGGGCCTGCGTACAGCTCATCCAGCTGCTTTTGTGTGATCGCGGCGCGCTGGCCCAACCACCGCGACATAGGCGCGATCACGAACGCATTCAAGGTCGGGGCGACTTGGGGGGCGACCGAGTTGACAAGCATGGTCGTGGCAATGCCGACGCCGACTGCGACATACCATTTCTGGACAAAGTCGGGGAATTCGCCGTGGAAGATCTTGTCGAGGCTCAATGGGAGAGGGACGTCGGTCCAGCTGGCATTCACGAGGAGCACAATAACCCCTACGAAAGCATTTTGATCCACGATACGACTCTCCACCGCCGCCAAGGGCCATAGGAACATGTCCGGCACACCTGTGTTGAGCAACTGGGCGAAAAACAGCTTGAACACTAGTGCAGACGCACGCTCGCTTTCGCTCGTATGCCGTTCGAATTCCCCAAACGCTCGAAGGATGGTCTGGAGGCACAAATTGACCACGATGACGACGCCCGCCGCCAGGACAATTGCGCCATTCTTGCGCAGGTAGCTCGCCAAGTACTGTTGGCATGGGATCTGGTTGTTGTAGAGTTTTCGCGGCCCTTCCACAATGCCGTACATTTTGATTGCGGTCGCCAGCTTGGGCTCGCAATAGCATTGCAAGATATCGGACGCTGCGTACGTGGCACAAGTCCGGTGCTTGGTTACCTCGTCCGGCTTGAAGCACGGCAACGTGTGGCACGACCGGTCCACCGCGGGGTCGAGCGACACACACGGATCCATGCATTGAGTAAAGTTGGATCCTGCAGGGACGGGCTGCGTCGTGCGGGGGACCTTGTTCGAATACGCGATGTAAAACCCTTCGGCCGGGCAGACTGTGTCCGTGGGGTACATATCCCATGCCAACGTCCACTGGTACTTTGTGATGTTGTCGTACGACCCAAGGAACACGGCCGGCACGGCTTCAGCGCAAAAATTCGGAATCGCTTGCTTCGAGAACGTTTGCTGGGCGCTACACCGGTGGAATATGGAGCGGTCGTCAGCAGTTGCGCGTCCGGGCGGCCTACCTCTGCGCGACGGAAATGATGGCGCACGACAGGAGCAGCAGCAAGAATGCAATCAAATTCGTGACCGCGCGTCTACGTCGCAGCCGTTGAGACACTGTCCGACCCGAGGACACGTACCGAAGGCGTCGTTGCCGGGTAGACACCTCGAGGTTCTCCCAGATGATGTCGGATGGCTCTGGTGCGGGCTCGACAATCAATCGGTGGATGCCGTGGAAGCGAAGCGACTTGGGCTGAAAATACCGCGCGTACCATTTTGTACTGGTGCGGTAGTCGCAGACACAGCTACAATTCGCGATTCTCTGGCGAGTCATGACGATGAGTCGGACACCGACCGGCGTTGGGACTCGACGCAGTTGAACACAACGAAAGCACTGTCGCACTGCGTCAGGTACGCACCGCCACCTTGGGCCTTGAGGACCTTCAATCGATTCGTCTTCTTTTCGAGTTGGGCCTGAACCTTCTTCAGCCTCTTCTCGATCCTAGACAACCCCCCGCCATGAAGTACTGCTCCTGCGTTCAAGTCGTGCCTAGGAATGGCCAGCTCGGTCGACTTATTCCCCTTGTACGTGTCCAGAATGTCGTGCAGCTCGGCCGCTTTCGCCGTCAAGTAATCCATCGCGAGAAACGTTCTCAACAGTCCGCCTGAGGGCCTCGAGATGCTCACTTCGGCGATCCACTTGCCCATGTACAGCTCGTTGCCATTTACGTGGTCAAGGGATGCCACAGGCTTGGAAAACCGCCCCCCTGTCGTCAAGTGTCGTCTGCCGGCCGCGGGTTTGCGCTTGCCCCAGCATCCGAAGTACAATGGGAGCTCCATGTACTCGTTCTCGGGATTGTACAAGTCGTTAAAGTGCGCCACGATCTCCGCTTCGGTCGCTGTGCGTGGAAGACCTCGGACGAACACGGCATACTTGGCTGGGGTGACGTTCTCGGCTTGCTGCGCAACGGCCGCTTGGATTTTTACCTACCAGCACGCTAAGAGCAAAGCACAAGGACCATTGGAGGCAGCGCGCAGAACCTTGAAAAACATGATAAATCCCACAAACGCTAGCGAAAACAAAATGTCGAACGCGGTCGTGATGTAGCTGACGTAGTTTGGGTCGTCCGTGAACGGGTTGTCGAGGCACCAGTCGGTCGTAGCGTTCATGGTCGAGTTCACTCCGAGGTTGGCGATGCAGAGGGTCGAGAACCGAAGCGGATCGATCATGTCCGTCTCAAAGCCGTGGCCGCTAGCATTCATGATGAGCGACGGCAGCGCCAAGATCGACATCAAGCAAAAACATCCCCCCATGTACTTGGTAAACATGAAGTACAAGTGGATGCCGGTCCCCAGCTCCGAGATGTCTTGCATCGTTGTGCGCAGGAATGGCTTGCCCGCGCCGAGCCGTTGCGACATCGCGAGCTTCTTTGCGTTTTTAATCATGTCCGGCCGCGCAATCGTAACCATGCGGTTCACCGACGACAGCCGGTGCGCTGGGGGCAGCGAGTCGACGCGAAGGGTCATGTTGGATGACATGGATTCAGTCGTCCACACTGCGTGGTCGAGCTGCAATTCCTGAGTTACCACGAGCTCTCTTTGGAGGTCGGACACAACATCTTCATCAACCACATTCATCGTGTGTGGGTCGGTCTGTTGCGACGCCGTTTCGTCGACGGCGAAACTCGAGTCGTCCACGGGCGTGTCGACCACTGGTTTCGGAGGGGAGATCGGCGGAAGGTGACGCGGCGCAAAGTCGTCCAGTGTCAACGGTCTCCCGGCAACTTGATGCGGGGGCGCGTAGTCATCTGCCGTGAGTGGTCTGCCTAGAGTGCCATGGGGCGGTGCAAAGTCGTCGAGCGTCATGGGTCGACCCCATTGTGCAGCATTCTCGGTTTCGTTCGAGTCGTCTCGACTGACTCCTGCTGGCATCGCTGACTCCATGCTTGCGGCGCTGCTGGCGCGAAACGTCACCAGGTGCGAGCGGTTTCAGATGTTGTAACTGCTCCTTTCGATTGGACGACGACCTTTGGACGTCGTATCATTTGAAATCGTTGATTATCGGGTCAAAATAGCTCCAAGTACTTCTTGACTCTTTGCTATCTTGCTGGGCCACCAATCAAAGCGCCACAGCATTCAAGGCACCATGTCGGACAATGCCGCGCAGCCGTCGTCGCTCAAGCGTCCGACCGACGGCGCCAACGGCGGACACAAGAAGAAAAAGGCCAAGACGAATGGCGCGAAGAAGCCGCTTCCGATTGCTGCAGGCAGCAACTGGGCCAAGTTGAAGCCCGTGGTGGCCCAGCCAGCGGCGGACAAGAAGCACGACCTGCGCTACGTCAAGGCCAAGAAGCCCGAGAAGAAGCCGAAAAAGTCGCAAACGATCGACTGGATCGACACCACGTCGATCGTGGCCATGGATTGTGAAATGGTTGGCGTCGGCGTCGGCGGAACCCGCAGCGTCCTCGCGCGATGCAGCATTGTCGACTTTGATGGGAACGTCGTGTACGACGAGCACGTCAAGCCGCTGGAAAAGGTCACCGACTTCCGAACGCACGTCAGTGGCATTCGGTCCAAGTCGCTGCGCAAAGCCATCCCATTTGCCAAGGTATGCATCAGCTGTACCTCGTGTACGTCGTGGACGCCAAGGTCCTCGGCGTCCTCGCGCTATACGTCCTGCGCATCCCTGACCGCGTGATCTCATACTTTTTGTGGCGGAGGTAGTGCCAAGTGGATGTCGCCGCGATTCTTAAGGACAAGATATTGGTTGGTCATGCCGTGCGAAATGATTTGCAGGTTCCTCGCATGCAGTGGCTGCCGTTGGACCAAGGCTGACCAAACTCGACTGTCCGGTAGGCGTTAATGCTGACGCATCCCAAGCCCATGCTGCGCGACACGACCAAGTACCGTCCGTACATGCGGCGGAGGGTGAACGGCACGGTAGGCTGGCAAGGAGCTATCGTCGGCCAGCTCATTCGGCGATGTTTTTGTAAACAGAAATTGTTGCCGAAAGCACTTCGGCATTTGGCGCTCGAGGTGCTGGGCAGGACGATTCAAGGTGGCGAGCATGATTCGGTCATCGATGCCCAAACGACGCTCGACCTGTATAAGCATGCCATGGTGCCGTGGGAAAAGGCACTGAAAGCGTCCAAGGTGCCGGGGGGGCTCGTGGGAGTCGCTCCTGTCAATGTCCAGGCAAAGGAAAAGGCAGATAAAGCCAAGCGCGTCGCGGCGGACATCGACTCGGACGACGATTTCGCTATCCAGCAACTCCAAGACAAGCCCGTGGTGACCAAGCCATCGCTGCGCATTCCAGACGCCCACGCCCTCGTCATGCAAGAGTACGATGAGTAACATGAATGAGTGGGAAAACCTGCCGTCCGCGTGCTGTTGGAATGACTTCCCTTTCGCGGGCCTATTGAAAAATATGCATCATTTCACCTCGAGATCAAAGAGTCATGGCAAAACGAATCAGTGAAAACCATCACGACCGCCTCAGCAAGGGGCCTAAGTACTTCGCAAAGGATAGCGATAGCTTTCCCGTTGTCCAGCAGCGACGCTGCTGGAATGGCTTTGCGTACAGATGTGCTGTCGTCCTTTCGGGTCAACCCAGGTAAGGTGTCAAAGTTTTCAAAATGTATATGGAACTGACTATAGGTGTATGCACGAAAACTCCCATCCTCCACAACGCATTCGTAAGACGGGCACACCCGCGGCCTTCTTGCGGTGACAGCAGCTCTCGACATCACACAATTTCGATGCCTGTCTCGGATTCTGGTTGCAACGATGACGTTCTGTCCAACGGGTGCACCGGGCAACCTCCAACTGTGCGTCGAGGTCTCAGCACCATCAATTCAGCATTTGCGTTCGTCGGAAGAGTTAGAACTGGACAAAAATGGTGATCGCCCCGACTCGTCCCGCGACGGCCCCGCCGCTGACGCCCCACGTTGTGCCGGCCATCAGTCGAGGCGCAGCCTGTTTGTCCCCTGGGGGCTATGCCAACACGATCGTTACACCCAAGTCGCTTCTCGCGGGGGATGCCCCGTTTGGCGCTGACGCTGCGTATTACCACCCGCCGCCACCGGCCTGTTCGATTCCGTTCATGGTTTTTCTCGCGGCCCCGAAGATGGCGATGAACATGTCATGGGCAGCGCAGTGGGCTGCGTTCGGACCCCTGTTGGAAACGCTCTTGCCGTCGTGGGCTGTGCAGCTCGTCCAAATCGTTGGGCCCCTCACGGGCCTCTTGGTCGCTCCAACCATTGGCGTGCTGAGCGATGCCTGCACGAGTCCGTACGGGCGTCGCCGTCCATTCCTTTTGTTTGGAGCTGTTGCGTCGTCGGTTTGCTGGCTCGTGATGTCGTATGCGAGGGAAATCGGTGAAGCCATGGGCGACGTCCCAGGCGGGACGCGGCAGCCCTGGACCGCGGTGTGGACGGTGTTGTGTTACATTTGGATGGACATTAGCGTCAACATGACGCAAGTCCCCGTGAGTTTGATTCTGGCCGACTTTGCCGGGGACCGCCAAGTCACTGCAGCCTCGATCGGCCAAGGATTTTCGATCGCTGGGTCGTTTTGCGTGTCGGGGTACATTTTGTTTTTTGGCCCCGCGCACGAGTCGATTCACGCCTTTATGTTTATGCTTGTGGGGGTCATGCTCTTGACGGCAATTCCCGTCTGCATTTGGGCCAAGGAAGAGCCAATGCCCCTTCCGCCGAATGCGATTCCTCGATGCACACAGCTGCAGCAAGCTTTTGCCGCCGTGTACACGGGCCTCTGCGAACTCCCCCGTGTCCTTGTGTCGTTCTGCGTGTGCTTTTTCCTCATTCAGTACGGGTACACGGCGTACAATGGCGCCAAGGGACAATTCTTTGGGCTGTTCGTCAAGGGGGGTCTCGCCGAAGGGGCCAACGTGTGTGGCAAGGTACAGACTCTTCCCATTCCGAAGGAAATGCTGACCACATACATGTAGGCGTGTACGGGCCCCCAAGAAGCCTACAACGAGGGAGTGCAGTTGGCGGGTGGCATCACGGACACGATCTTTAACGGCGTCGGGCTCGTTTACCTGGCCATTTTGCCGTGGCTCGTTCGAACGTGTGGTGCCAAGCGAGTCTTTACATGGTCGATTTTGCCCCAAGCGCTTTTGATTGCGATGGCCATGTGCAAAGTGGTCGAAGTCAACGTGACGATTGTCGTGCTGTGTGCCATTACCCAGAACACTGTGTTTGCCATGCAGATCCCTGTCATCATCCACGTTGTCGGCCATGGCCCGGACAACCAGCTCGGGCTGTTTGCAGGCGCATTCAACTCAGCAAACTGCGCCGGCCAGTTGCTCAACTTTGTGCTCGCCACGTTGCTCGTGCAAACGGACATGGGGCACGCTTTGCCAGTGTTGGTCGGGGGGATCCTTAGCCTTGGGGCCCTCCTCGTCGCCCACTTTACCCTTGAGCTTAACATGAAGTCGCTGTAAGGAATGAAAGAATCACGACGTCGGGCGTGTGCTCGATCCTGTGGGAATCGATGGTTATCTTTGCGTCATGCTTGCCGTACGTGGTCAGCTAAGAAGGAGCTCCATCGCGCTGTCTGCGACGCATGCATGGACAGGACATTGACATCGAAAAGGATGCCACTGCTCGAGGGGCTAAATATAACACACGTGCGGCGCACTCTCGTGTGGCTCGTGTCGTGGAATTGCCTGTTCAGGAGATGGGACCGAAAGCCAAGAAAAAGGAGCCAGAGCCAGAAGACAACGGCGTCACCCGGGCGATGGTGGTCGCCAGCTACACCAAGATGTGCAGGTACGGGACTCCTGCCGCATATGATCCAACAGTCGTGGATGTTGGCAATGACGCTTGGCCTCCAGGGCCATCGGTGTTCCTGTCAATGCGCATGTGACCGAAATGATCAAAGGCAAGGGGGAGGAGGCGGATGAGAAGTTGGCGCAGGCACATTGCGACGAGTGCCCTTCGTCGCCTCATTTCGTTTCGAGTAGGTAGTTGTCGACGAAGAGTTTGGCAACCTCGGCAACGGGGGCATACGAGCCATGACGTGTGCTTTCCTGGGGACGGTGCCACACAACAACACAGGGCCGTACCAGCATCTCGCAAACGTCCGTGTGTGGAATAACGCGATTGGCGACGAAGGCGCGTCGGCCATTGTACGTAGCCGCAATGCGTCGTTGCATGGGAGCAAGCTGACTTGCGAATGGACCAGTCGACGCTGCTGAGCGAGGGGAGTGCCCTCGTGAACGTGCTGTACGTGGAGCTCATGGACTGCGACATTGGGCCAGAGGGGTGCGTCCCGGCGGTCGTGGGGACTCTCGTCATGGAGATTTCTAGCTGCGCGATGCTGGCCGACGCGCTCAAGCCCGAGAGGAAGTCGCCTTTGCAAACTTTAAAACTGAACTGCAACAACAAGATTGGCAACGACGGCGTTTACGCGTTATGCCAAGGATTGTTTGCAAATCACACGATCAAGGTACGTCTGTGGAGCGACAACTTCGACGGCGGGGGGGACTCACGTCGGGGTTGTGGCTGCTCTAGCAACTGCACTTGGACTTTTGCAATGTATCGAGCGACGGCGGCGTGGTGCTGGCCCAGCTTTTGTGCATGGCAAAAAGCGCGCTTGAGACGCTCAGTCTACAGGGCAACATGCTCGGCGATGCCGGGCTCCTCAACATCTCCAAAGGACTCAAGCGATCGCAGTCGTTGGTGAAGCTCAACGTGTCTGACAACGGGATTCGAAAGGTACGATGGTGGTGTTCGCATGGACTGGTCAAGCGATTGCTCGTGCCACCAGGACGTCGACGCGCTCACCACGTTTCGGGATGCGATTCTGCGATGCAAAACGCTCACAACCATCAAGTTTGCATTCAACTTCATCGACGCGGAAGGCGCAGACATCTTGCTTCCAGCACTATCGTCGGTACGCTGTCTGTCCAGCGCGACAGTTCTTGGGCCGATCGTCGCCTGCGCGTATAGGCGGAAGGGTCCCGTGTCACGGTGTTCGAAGTCGACGCGTCGCTTCCCCCTGACGTCTTTCAGAAGCTCAACCGCGGCGAAAAGGCCGACGGGAAGAAGAAGAAGGGCGGCAAGAAAGGGAAAAAGAAAAAGTAACAATGTCCAGGCACCAGAATCGTGTGTGCGTTTGCCGATGCATGGATCGGTGGCCGCCGTCTGTGTAATATGACAAACGTGCCTGCGCTGGTCTCGCCGCAAGCATGGGCGCACCCAACGCCCTCACCCTTGGCAACACTCGACAGCTAAGAGTGATGGAGCACGTCGTCCATGTGAAATGGTCCAAAGGCGTCGTCGCGACTCTGTCACGCACACTCGCCTCCATTCAATACGCGACCCAATCCCCCTAAAGCAACAAGTCTCTCTCGACATCGTCGGCGCTCGACCATTCCTCCACCCTCACTTTTCCTCGGCGAACGTGTAATACCCTTGCGCGTACTTGATGCCAAAGTCGTGTGCGTCGTCTGGGGGGTGCTTCAGCGCCTTGCGTGGGCTCTCGTCCAGCTCCTACATGACGCATGCGGGGCGTTGGCAGCGATCGTCACCGTGGGCATGCATACCTCGAACAGATCGCGGAGGTTTCCATCATGCTTGACGTACAGTGCCGCTACGAAAGCCACGATGAGTTGTCGCGTCCCTTTAGCACTCGAAAGGTCGCCTTAGTTCGTTCCGCCACCGTCACGACCAGAGACCGATCGTACCATACTGCTGGGCGACGTCTCGATCGTACGACAACGAGTCGGGGCGGTCGACGCTCTTGGCGGCTTTCAAGTGGGCCGCGGATTTACTCAATGCCGACTCGTCCACGACCGCGCGGGTTCCTTTGCTCTCCATTCGAATCGATCAATTCCAGTCGCTTGGACGCAAGCGTCAAGATCGAATTGTTTCCAAGCGTCGCGTCGATGGTTTCGTCCGAAACGACGGGCGGCCCTCCTACGGCGCCAAATTTCTTGCGTCGGTCATCCCTCGTGAGCTAGCCGTTCGGATCGTGCAAAGTTATCGGGTCGGCGGCCCGCAGCAGCTAGTCCGCACACCCCTCTCAACCTACTGAGCAGTGCCACCCTCGCCCATGTGTGTCCCAGAGCCAGAAGAATGCGACTCGAGGCCGTCCAACCAAGCCACAGTCGCTTGCCGAACCTTACAAAGCTACAACGTGCACAATCGACGGGGTTGAAGCCTCCATAGAATCAATCGTCTTGTTCGTTCGTGTCGCTAGCGTAGCCATCTAACGTCGGGACTTCGGACGGCAATTCGGCCACCGTCGACGCCATGTCGCTTTTCGTTTCATCGTCGTCGCCAGTTGGATCGACCCACACGTGCCCATCGACGTGGTGACGAGGCGCCACCGCAACGTCCACCGCGTCAACGTCATCGCGCGCACCATCGCCTGAGCCGCAGCCCCCGCTCCACGACGGCCCATCGTCTGGATCGACCACATCTTTATAAAACGTGTCAAGGTCTTCGTCAGGCTGAATCGCCATCTCAATCGACTCGAGCGACTCGACCGGCGCGTGCGGATCGGCTACCCGTCACAAATCCCCATCACGAAACCTCGTTCAAGCAAGATAGCTGTCGTACTCAGTGCAGGAAGATAGCCTTGGTACGATAGGATCGTTTGATACGTGTGCAGGTCCTTGGCGAACGCGTCGCCAAGCGCGCGCTGTCTACGCCGCCGCCAACCGTGAAAACCATGTTGCCACAGACCGCTCCAACGATCGTACCGTTCGTGGTGCCGCCGAAGAAGTCGCTGCTGCTTCTCGGCCAACGTACTGCATTCAAATTGCTCCAATTCCGCTTGCTACCGATCGATTCACGGTGCGGGCACGATGCGCATGGACCACGACGCCATGGTCCAGCCTACCTGTTGCAGAGCAAACGCCGCGTTCTCGTACACCAATTCTTCCTCTGTCTTGGACCTACGGGCAAGTGCCACCATGGCGATGGAGACGGTGGAGGTGGGCAAGGGCGTTTGTTGAAGATGGAGGTCTCGTCCGCATTGCGGCGACGTACATGAGCAACTGTTCGACTTCTTCCATGAGGCCCACCAACGACACTATCGAGTTCCTGCCGTCGGCTGGGTGGGCATTTGCCTGAAAAGGTTGAGAGAGGGGGGAGCGTACCGAATGGATCGGATGCCGTCCTTGATGTGCGCGATGTTTTGAAAGTTGTGTTGGAGGAACATCGCGCTCTGTGCTTCGGCTGTCACCCGCCGCCGCGTCTTCGAAAACACGTCCGAGAGATGCTCCCCGCTGACGTGGTCACGTGACAAGTCGACCGCTCATGCCATTACATCGCATCGTACCTCTGGAGGAGTGCTTGATGCTCCACAAGTACCTGTTGCTGGCGATGTACAAAGGACGCAAAGAACGGCCCTCCTGCAACCTCGTCTGGCTCCTTTGTCCCGACAACAGACGCTGACGGCGCCGATGCGCCCAACGTTGTCGACTTGGTAACCGTGGATACCACACTTGTTGCCGCCGCCGCCACCGCCGTCAACCGCTCCGACGCGCTGTTCATGTTGATATTCATCTGGAGACGCTGCTTGTTCATCTCGGCGCTGTGCTCTTCTAGCGTGCTCTTCAGTTGCTTCCCTCCTTCCAGCACGCGATGCTTTAGCGACCCCAACATGCCACGACCAAATAATGCACAATGCGGTATGGCCATCGCGTTTCATAAAATAAATTTGTGCCGACATGTATACGTTATCCAGTATAACTTGAGGAGAAGCCGACACTGGAATTAAAATATTCGCATCGCCTGCATGACATGGCAGTCGTCGCTCATGGTGGCGCATGAGTAGTCAGCGATGGCGTTGAGAGCGCCAAGCGCGAGAGGTAGCGTCATTTTCAGATATACCCTGTGCCCTCTGACCTTTCATCCCTTGCGTGTGGTGAGGATAGATGGTCGTCGTCGGCTGGATCGCTCGCCGCACTTGAATGCGATCACAACACAATGACCACATCACATCATTCTTGTCGGCACCACTACCGTGGCGCTGACCAGGGTTGAGCTGCAGGGGCTACGTTAGCCGGTGTGGCATGGCCAGTTGCACCGCTTCATGTTCGGTCGATTGTCCATCCGTTATCGAGACGTCGATGGCCATCTGGGAGCTCAACATGGCAACGTTGGCAGAGCTTCCGACCATCTTCCACCGAAGGGTTCGCTGCCGAGGCCAGTGTTGCCGAGCCAACCATCTATTTCTGTCCGTCACGGCGCAGTTACATGCACAACAGTCTCCCAATACTTCCATCGCCACACAGACGACGTGACGAGTTGGGAATCGAATTTGATTTCACCGCCACGATGGAGGCACCAGTTGCCGCACAGGCGCCGCCGGCTGGGGACGACTGCCCGAGTCCATCATCATCGCCTCTGCAGCGGCACGGTGTGCTTCCAACCTTTCGCGTACGTCACATGCATGCTGTATCGGCGGTTTTCATGCGGCCGAGATGGGCAACGTCGCCCGCTGCGAAGGTACCAATCCATCGTAAGGTGATCCATCCAGGGTGTCAGTGGAAGCCCGAGCTGCATTTGTCCATGGCGCGGCCCATCGCGCAGCTCGAAGTCATGTCGAAACCAAAGGTCGTGCAGCTCTTGGTGGTGTACTACTTGTTCGCGTTTGCGTTCTTGCCCATCATCGCGCTCGACACGTCGTCTATCGTGGTCGTGACCCCAGCAGTCTCATGTCGGGGAAGCGAATGCACAGGTTGGCAAGTCCACACGCGCGTGTCTCCGTTTTGCTCGTCCATGTCCCTCGTTGTGTCGACGTCCGCCTCGTCGCTGGTGTTTGTTTTCCCTCTGGGGGCGCCGACGCCCCGTCGCCCTCCGCTCGCCACGGCGGTCCTGACCGTCGAGCCCGTCGAGGGCGGGCCAAGGCAAACGTGTTTCTTGGCGAATTGGTCCACAACAGCCCAGGACGCATCGTTGATCACGGTGGAAAGCGCCGCGGTCGACGTCAACTACGCCCAGCTCTTTGGTGTGGACATCAACCTCTTTTCTGCCGTCGACGTGTCGTTCGAGCTGGACCCGACGCTGCAGCTGCGGCCATTCGACACCATGACCATTGCGTGGCGCCAGCGCTTTGTGTCGCCGTTTGTGACGCTCTACTGCTCGTGCACGGTCATGGCGATCGACGTGATGTCGGTCGCGTACTTTTGGCATCGAGTGCGGCTGTTTCGCCACTCGCAGCCGACGGTGTCGCTTCCGCAGTGGCGGTGGATCGTCGGCATGTTGATGGCGCTGATGCTGCAAATTCAAATTCCGTTTTCGATTGCCCAGTTTGTGTATACAATGGCGGGGACGGCAATGCCGGCCGCGCTCCTCCAGGTCAGTTTCTGGCTGTACCTTGTCGGGAAGAATTCGACGCGGTTTTTTGTCTTGTGCTTTGCCGACGGCATGGACCGAACGACCGAGAGCTTGGCGGACCGCGGCCACGTTCGGTTTTACACGATCAAGGCAGCGACGGTCGCGGCGCTGACGATCTTGCAAGGCATCAACTACGAGCTGAAACTTCCCCCCGACGTGGCAGATGTCCTTGTCCTTGTGATCACCGTCCTCGAATTCGCTACGCAGGGGCTCATCGTGCTCTGGTACTGGGCGCGACGGGGCCGGGAGATCCGCACGTTCCCGTACAAAACCGCGAAATTTCGCTACGTCACGTACGGCGTGCTGTCGTTTCTGGTCGTGCCGGAAGCCATTGGGTCGCTGATCACACTGCTCAAGCGGGCGGCGTGGTCTTTATCGACACCGACGTCGAAAAGCCTCGCGTGGCTCGCCGCCCTCGTTCGGCTGCAGGCGTTCGCCTGGATGGTGCTCCAGTGCTACCTTCCGCTCCAACACGACCAGCTGCTCCAGACATCTCCCGAGCGCAAGTCGTTTGCATTGAACGATGACGATAACGATGACGGCGATGATGATGGCGACGACAGGAAACGAGCGTCCATTCGCCTGACGATGCGAACGTTCAACCTTACGACAGCCGTCGTCATGCTCAACTGCAGTGTCACGAGCTATTTTGACACTCTGGCCGCCGACCAAAGCGCGGAGGATGGTCGTTCGTCGACGGCAGCGGCATCGCCATGTCCGCCGCCGTCGCCATCCTCATTTGGACGCATCGGGCTCGACATTATCCACCCCAACGCGTACAACATCCATGTCATCCGGACCTTCCACGGCGCTGCGACCGACACGAACGCCCTCCTCCTGCACGACACAGCATTCGACCGGTACATCGTGAGCTTTCGAGGCACTGGCAGCCTCAAGAACGGGCTCACCGACGTCAAATCACGCCAAGTCCTGTTTCCAGGGGTCGAGTTCACAGCGCCGCGAAAAGCGCTCCACCGGCGGTACCACCGCAGCGACGTGTACGTGCACTTGGGATTTTGGCAAGCGTACAAGACGCTGCAAGCGGCCATCCACGACGCCGTGCGGCAGTTGCCTCGGCCACCGCTCGCGCCTCTTCAGATCTATTGTACGGGCCACAGCCTCGGCGGCGCGCTGGCGACGCTGTGTGCCGTGGACCTCGCCCTCGCGCAGCCCAACGTGGCCGTGACCATGTACAACTTTGGCAGCCCGCGCGTCGGCAACCACGCATTTCGCTTGCTCTTCAACGCCATCGTGTCGGGGTTTCGCGTCGTCAACGACGGCGACGTTGTAACGCAAATGCCCAAGCGCGACTACACCAGTGTCTCCCGGAACGGCGTCGGAATCTACAAACATGTCGGGACGGAAGTCGTGCTCCTGTCGTCCGGCGTCGAGTCCAACAACGTGGACGGTCGTCGGTCGTTCCGGGGGCTCGTGGTGCAACCCACGATTGTGGACCGCGTGTTTGTGCTCGCCATGCGAACCAAGCTGTCAAGCCATACGCTCGAAAGCTATCGGCAAAGCTTTCGATCGCTCATTTCGCATGAACCGTCGTTTGACCGTGCGACGGACACGAGGGCGGACGGCGTGCCCATCGTTCACGACGAACATGCAGCATGCACGCTTGAAACGAGTGGCGGGGACGCTGCGGCGGCGGAACCAGAGACCACGATCGACAACGTTGCGCGGCCAACGGACGTGTTGGAGATTGTCGTCGATGGCGTGATGGACCAGCTCGACGACGCCGCCATGGATTGAGACGAAGAGGAGTAGTAGATAATTCTGCTGCTCGGACAATTCCGTCTTCGTGGATGTGAAGGATATGCATTGAACGCCACCATCAGCATAGCCTCCCGCATTGGACGGCCTTCTCCATCGAACTGTCACGACCGACATATTTCCTCGTCAATTACTCTATCGTGGGAATCGACACAAACTGGGGTGGTCTGCGTTCGCCGGTGTGCTTGGGCGACTGCTCTGTTCAACTTGAGTCGGTTGAGGGTGGACGAGACCCCCCGTTGTGGAGGACAATGCGGCCATCGTACAACGACGCAACATCGCCGCCGAGATGGCGCGGCATGCCTGCAGCATGCAACTAATCGCGCTTTGCTTTTTCGACGGAGTCCATTGCAAAGGCTCTTCGTCTGAGGTTGGGCATTTCAAAGGTTCATGTGGAAGGCGGCGGCGTCGATAAAATGTGCTGTCGACTTCTACGGTTCGTGCCAGGACGTGTGCTCGTAGAGCACGTCACCGCATTCCACACAAGCGCTCCGAGTGCCGCGCCGTGTCGGATCGACTCTGCTCGGTGCAAATTCGATTCGTTAAGCTTACGTCTACCGTCGTCGTCGAATGCGGCGCAGTTTCTCGGTCGAAATGTTCGTCTGCGTCATCGCGGTCAAGTCGATCCTGTACGAGTAATGTCCGGACTGGACGATGCGGCTGTTGTACGTCGCGTTCGCTTGGTGGGTTTGCCACAGGAATTCCATCTGCGTGGTGCCGCCTGCCGTGTACGGGTACCACCCCGTGGCCTTGCCGTCGACAAAGTCGTCCATGTAGTATTCCCACTGTCCGTTCGCTTTGGCTTCGTAGTCGACGCGGAGAAGGTCGTACTTGCCGTCGATCTGGGCAAACGACGCTCGGGTGTGCCAGGCTTGCCCCGTTTTCTCATGGAACTTTGACTCAAACACTGCTTGGGCATGGGCCAACGTTACGTGAGGACCATCCAGTTGATGTTGGCCGGCTGTGCCAGTGCGACCCCATCGCGTAAAGCAGTAGTAGTGCGAGTCGCCACCGAGCGACGAGACGTTTGCTTGGATCAGTTGTATGAGGTAGTACTTGTCCATGTTTTGAGCCAGGTCGACCAAGACGAGCGACGCGTCCATGACGTGTCCGTCCGGCAAGGTCGCGACACGCAGTGGCGCATCCAGGTGGGCAAGATGCGCTGCCGCAATCGAGTCGACTTGTCCTGTCGCGGGCGTTGGCGGCGCCGTGGCAGCGGCAGATGTCGTCCCTCGAGGCTTGCGTTTCAAAAACGTCGACTTGGTGGCCTTGGGCGTTGGTTGCGACCGTTCCTTCTTGACGGCGCGTCGCGTGCGGTAGTACACCTTGCGAGGCTTCCATGTTCGGCACCACACGCAGGTACATGTCGTGGGGCGCGGAGGCTTGGCTGAGCTGCGAGTCTTCGACGACATGCTGCGGGTCATGACGGTCATCTTGCTTGCGTGTGAGTGTGGAAGCGAAGGTTGAGTTGTGTGGGTCGATCGATCGACCCCATGTCACGAAAACGTTGCCATGCCGGCCCATGAGTGTTGGTCAACGGACATGGTAATATTACATCTTGAACGTTGTATGTAGCAGACGACATGGAGGAGTGATGGTACATTTCACAAGCTTTCAGAGCCGACACTCGCCACCCGAAGCATTCGCGTCGAGCCGGACGGCAGCATGCAGCGCAACGCCGCTTGACTACACGCCCCAGCATGCATGCAAGGGCGCATGCAAGCTCCGTGCATCCTACTCTGGCTGAAATTTCTTGCTTGGCTGAGCTGTGAAGTCTTTGGATCGATTTGTCCGTTCGGGGTGTCTTGTGTGGTGGGCCAGCTGAGGAACACAATTGCGTTGCGAATTGCACAAACAGGTACCCGCATACAAATCGCGTTGCTATCACAGCGCCTGGAGCGCAGTGCGGTTTATGTGTGCCTCCCGACGCTCCCTCGTCCATTCGTCTCTGCAACGGATTCCATGACTCGTACCGACGGAAGCACGGACAGTTCATCGGGCAGCAGCCAGTGAACCCACAGCTTCTGTTGCCTGTGATGCCAAAAACACAGCCTACTACACGTCGGCGTTTTGACGATTACATCTTGAATGTGACGATGAATCGAAGGCGCTGCTGGCGTTCTTGGTACACGAGGAATTCGTTGTGGGTGAAGGACGTCGCCAAGGCGTGCGATGTTACAGTCGGCCCCACTGGGACACGAACGTGGTTGCCGTCGAAGTCGACCAACTGGTCGTGCGCTGGGTCGGGATATGTGGTGCCCTTGGCCAGGACGGAATCGAACGGCGCGGGTGGCTTGGTCAGCGATGGGTCGTCTTGCGTGATCTCATGGATGTCGCCGAGAGCCGTTTCCACGAGGAAGAGGCATCCCGTCTGGGTGCCGTCAAACTGGGTCGGATGCACGTACTGCCTCGACTTGGCCAGCATATCGGCCAAGTAAATGCCTTTGCCGACGCGGCCGCCAGCCGACGGCATGATGCGAAGCCCCGATTTGAGAATCGCGGCCACGACTGCGACGTTCGTGCCGTGCCAGAGAAGACGATGGTTTGGCACGGCGGCAAACGACGCAAACGATTTATCCTCAGCGTGGCGGCGCACTGCCCAAATATCCTGAAGCGCGACGTGTTGTTGGAGCAAGAGTCCACTACTCGAGTGCTGGATGTACTTGGTCACAACTGAGTACACCGGGTCGGACGGCGACACCAAATCCAACTGGCACTGGAGCTCGGCGTACTTGAGGTCGATGCTGTTGGCTTGCTGCACAGACGGGACGTGGATCGCTCGCTCGACGTCCTGAGCAACCACAATATCGTGCAATGTCGACAGCATGTCGTATTTTTCCTCGAGCTGTTGGGGCGTTGCCAGCACGGGGGGAATCGTGCTGCGCGAGAACGCGTGCGGAATGAGAGTGTAAAACTTGGACGAGAGCGTTGTGCGGAGGGTGGCATTGGGGGTGGTCAAATTCGCCTGGAGCTCGTCGAGGATCGCCACGCCCTTTTGAATCTGCTGCAGACTGAGTGTGCCGAGCGGCATGCGGGCCGGGTCCAAGTTCATCCGTTTGAGCTCTGACTGGAACATGTCCGTATCGAAGATCATGCAAATGAGCTTCTGCGTCTGCTTGGGCAAGCGCGACGGAATCGTGTCGTTCACGACGGCGACCGGAGCATGCGCGGCCGACGATGCCGTCATATCGAGCTCGACGATCTCGTACTGGTTCTTCTTGGCGACAAACGTGGCGCGGTCGTCCCATTTGTTTTTTGTCTTGTCGGTGAATTTTTTGCTAAAGGCAGTCGCGGCATCGCCCAGCGCGGCAAACGGCCCCAACAACGCATGGTTGCCGTCTTCGCCGACGCGACCCCATCGCGTAAATACGTCCCACGACCCGTTTCGCAAATCGAGAAGTTGAATGCGGTAAAATTTGTTGTGGCTGGAGCTGGCCTTGATCGCAACTTCATTCAGCATCACATCGTAGTCGTCGACGACGTCTGCGTTGGACCCGTAGAGCTGCTCGTAGATCGAGTCCAGGGGGCGATGGACTGCAGCAGGCGGTGCCATGACGGGAGGAGGCAGTGCCTTCTTCGCAACAGGACTTGTGGCCGGGTGGACGGACGACGTGGCTTTCGATGGCGTCGGCTGTGGGACAACACCTGGTAGTGTAAACAACGACGACTTGATCACGGTCGCCGGCACCGCGATGGGAATCACAGGAAGCGCTGGTGGATGGCCTGGAACCGACGAACCACAAGCAATCGATGGAGGACCGCTGCTTGGAGCGGCGGCAGCGGCCACAACGATGCCGTTATGCGCTCGTCGAATGAAGCGGGACTTGTGGGTTGACATGTTGGTTTGAGTCATGTTGACCAAATCGACTTGATACGAATACATGCCGCTTTCCACAATCCTGCTGCTATACGTTGTGTTGGCTTGGAATGTTTGCCACAGCGCTTCCGTTTGTGCCATGCCTGGCGCAACGTTGTAAACGAATCAATCGTCGACGGAAGAAGGACGATGTCCGATATCGGCTTACCTTCGGCCGTGTACGGGTACCATCCCGTGGCCTTGCCGTCGACAAAGTTACCCATGTAGTATTCCCAGACAGCTCCCGTCGACGCTTGTGCTGCCATATAATCCACGACCAGCAGATCGTATTTTCCCTTTTTGCACTCAAACGAACCCTTGTCCGCCCAGTTCGACCCTGTTTTATCGAGAAACTTCTTGCAAAAGTTGTCTTGTGCGTCGTCGTACGAGAAGGGTCCGTCCAGCTTGTGCTGTCCAACTTGTCCAGTGCGTCCCCAGCGCGTAAACACATAATACGTCTGGCCGTGACCGACAGCGATGAGTTGGAGAACGTAATATTTGTCCGTGTTCTTGGCAAGGTCGATCTGAACCAACGAAGCGTCCATGACGTCCCCCGCATGATTTGTGGCCAATGTAAAATTCGATACGCTCAATCCAGCCAAGAGTTCAGACGCCTTGGCATCGACGTCTCCCGTGGCCAGCGACGGCGGTGGAGCCTGGGCAGTTGCGTGCACCGGTTTCAACGCTTTCACTGCCTTCTTTGCCGGCGGCGAATGGGGAGTTGGAGCAGGTGGAGTTGAGTTCACTGCAGCAACAGTCGAGCTGCGCGTCGATCGCTTCGTCGCACGAGGGGCGGCGGCAACAGGAGATGTCTCAACGACCTTTCGCTTACCTCCCATCGATCGTCGTTGTATTGTGCGAATCGTCAACGGTGCTTTCGGGATATCCGGATAAATATCCCTATTTTAACAGTATTTTTCAACGACGCCTAATTTAGTGGCTCCGACTGGCACACCAGACAAGTCGTGTGCGCAGTGCTGCCCACAGGCCAACATGGAGAGTGCTCCAAAGAGAAATGTGGTAGGCACTGTGGGTAGGCAACGACAATTCAAGACTGCAGGATAGCATTCGTCAAAAGAAGCGCACACGTCTGCCCAGCACAACCACAGTCGTTCGACCAAAAGGCCTGAAAACAGCAGGAGAGATGTCGAGGGAACGGGATTGTAGCGGTCGGTGACACGTCGACAGGGACGAAGATTTGGGGGCCGTGGCGGCAAACCCCTCGATTTCCAGCGCTCGGATAGTTGTGGACAAAGTCTCTGCACGCAGCGTGAATTAGCCTGAGGTCCTCTAGACCGTTCAACGACGTGTGACTAGGTGAAGCTGTGGTGTGTACGCATTCTGGCTGCGCAGAGTTGAAGCAGCACGAAGGATGCTTTCACACAAACGCTTGCGTGCATTGGGGTGGCCCTAGGCCGCTGGCCGTGGGAGTGTTGCCCTGCCAAATTTTGCAATACTCGCCGCACGACCTTTCGCCGTCAATGGATCTTTGACAGTTACTTGAACGCGTCGTCGGCACGCCCGCCTCTGCCCTCCCAATGAAGCGATCGATTGAGTTTACGAAGGACGTGATGCCCAAGCCGCAGATATCGCCTGCGAGCCGAAAACAGCGTCGCGAGAGGAGTGCAAACGTTATGTCGTCGCAGTCTGATATCCCTCCAGCATCATCGTGCGATGCCGAGTGTGCTGTGGCGTTCAACACGTGGGTACACCACGAAGAAGCCCAAGACAAAGGTGGGCAGAAGTGGCCCAAGCTCGATCTGGCCAACAATCACCGCATGGCCATCCAAACACACGAAGAACTCGTGTCCCCTTTAATCAAGCGCAAGCGCCAACTACCAGCGCCATCGCTAAGAAAGCGCGTGTCGTTGGTGCCAAACTTGCCCAACGTGGACACGGGCGACAGGTAATGCAGCTCACTCTCCGTGCCGCCAACCGTCCCATCGATCGATGTAGAATTGCTACCCAAAAGCAGGAAATCGCCAACTTGCTCTCTGACATACAAAAGTAGTACACTGGCATCCATCGCTGTCGTCCCCATGTATCACGGTCTGCAATAGAAGCCGCCACCCGTATCGAGTACGAAGCGCCACAGAGAAGACAGCACGAGAGGCTGTGACGACTGCGAGACGACCAGTATCGTCCGACGCCATGGTTCAGCAACCTCACCCGTCTAGCCAAGTGGCCCAGCGCTACGATCGTGAGGCAGCCCTCGACGGTGAGTTCGCCCACCTTGGCTAGCTAGCGCTCATCTGTTTTGCAGACGACATTGCCCCATACGTATTCTACGAGCCTTTCAGCACAACCCCCCGCGCATGGATCGATCTTTCAGCGTGGACTGCGATGGATGGCAACGTCGTCTTGGCGCAGCTAACAAAACACTTGACAAAATCGTGCACGTCACTCAACTTGTCGGGATTGCAGGGCGACATTGCTGTCGATGGTACCTCCGTCTCGAGTTTCCACAGCCCATGAAGCCACAAACGCGTGCTATCTATGTAGTGGTTCACGCGTGCTTCACCAAGTGCCCTAGACTGACCACACTCGTCCTCGACGAAGTGGCGGGCCTTCCAGTACGCTCCAACCCAACCGTTCCACAACGCCTTACGGAGCGATGTGTAGACTGCTGCCTACAAAACAATCGGCCACCTCTGCCTTTGCCTCGAGCATCTCCATCTTGCCAAGAGCCATGACGTGACGGATGGTTTGTCCTTGCGTCGTCGCGTTCTCTTGCGCGCTTATCGTCGCCATGGACAGACTTGCTCCGCGTGATGTCGTCGGCGTTTCCGAATTTAAAGACACTAGACTTCAGCCACTGCCAGGACATCACGGATGCAGGCCTCGCGTGCGTCCTGAAAAAGACCCCGCGCCTTGTGTCCGTGTCCGTGGCGGGGTGTCCATATCTTACTGAGCGAGCCCTGACCCAACTTGCATCGGTAGCCTCGATCGTCCATCCCTCTTTTCTTCCTGCACGGCGCCATGTAGACGTGTGGGCGAACTCTACAATCGCTCAATGTGTCCGACTTGGCCAAGGTCGGTGGCACCATGTCATTGAGATGGCGACGCTTGATTTCACACTTGCGTTCCATACCAGACCACCGACAACGTGGTGGCTTCGTTGGCACTGGCGAAACCAATCGTCCTTCGCGTCCTGCGCCTACGGAATGCGCGCCAACTCACGGACGCAGCGGTACTGTCTACCGTTCTCAAAGTCGGTTTGGTTGAGCTGCGCACGTTGTCTTGTTTTTAGTTTGAAGCACTGGTGCATCCACCGCAAACGTTTACGCAAGCTGTAGCCGTGGCATATACTATCGATAAGCTCGATCTCACAGGGTGCGACGGGCTCACGGGGCTAGCTCTGTCGTGGTAACGAGTGCTATCCCCTTGTTCACCCGACATCTCGTCGAACCTGGAGAATTGTTCTCGATAGGATAGCGGCTGGTTGTCCGGTTTTGAGATCTCTCAACCTCACGGGGTGCAGCCGCATCAACGACAAGGGATTTCGGGCGCTACAAGGCTGCGCGCACCTGCAAAAACTTCGGCTAGCCAACTGCCCTCTCATTACCGACGCGTGAGTTGTTCGCCAGGCTCGTACACCGCTCGTTCCCGATTCTAACTCGTCATGGCAGCGCCGTTGTTCCGGTGCTGGCAGCCACCCGAAGACATCCGTGGGCGACCATCGCATTCTTGCAGTGTCCTGGTATTTCGTCGGCGACAATTGCGGCCATCGGGGACCACTGCCGCCACGTGACGTCGCTGGTGTTGAGTGACATCGACCCGAATGTTCCGTCTTGCAACTGGGAACGTATTTGCAAGCGGTGCACCCATCTAACCCGGCTGCACCTATGCCACATCCCCAACTTGCCACCACAAGGCCTGATATCCCTCGCGAGGCAATCGAGGCTGCGCTTGGCCGAGCTCCAACTGTGCCATTGCAATCGCATCGACACGAACGCCCTGTACCCCCTGCGCGCACTCTCGAAGCTCCGGTCGCTCGTCCTGGCAAGCGACGTCGCCACGTCTGACGGGATCGCGTTCTTCCCGCCATCCCTTGTACACTTGAAGCTTGCGGCCCCGCTCATCGACGACGCGGGAGTTCAGATGCTCAGCGCTCGGTGCTGGCGACTCGAGAGCCTCGAAGTCCAAGGCACGGGGCGCGTGTCGGGGCGAGTCTTGCGCAGGCTTTTCCGAACGTGCAAATCCATGACACGCGTCGCTGTCACCGACTGCGCTTTAATCCATCAGGACGATGTCCACGCGATGGCCAAGACGAAAACCAACCTGAAGCTACAGGTGACCCGCCACTCGCCGACATCGTACGAGGTGGCCCCAACGCAGCACACGACGATGCTGCGTACTTTTCGCCGATACGTTCAACTCGCTCGGACGCACGACGCGGCGGCCAAGATGATTCAGCACTTTTACATGACTGGCGTTGTCACGACCGAAAACAAGTTCAAGTTTCAATCGCAGTTGGTCGAGTTGACGCGATGTGTGCTGCGCATCCAGCGAGGGTACCGGGTCTTTCGAGGTATGCCAGCATCTAATGACCATACGCTGGAGCTCATCACCCCAATCTATGGCGTCCTCGTCGTGGATAGATCGTCGGCGGGCGGTGCTCTTGATGCAGTACAAGCTTCGAGCCGTGCGGTACATTCAGCGGTGGTATCGGAAGCATCGCATACGTCGACGGATGAATCGAGCGACGCTGTTCTGGACCAAACGATGTCTAGTGCTCACGTTTCGCGCGTGGAAGAAAACACACCAAGCCGAGATGGCCGAGCGTGAATTTGTACCATCACCTTGCCATTCCCTAGCACAGCTAAATCGCGGCGGCACTAGGCATGGCAAACATCGGCCACCATCCAAGCGATGCAGCTGTGGTCCAATAAGACGTTGCGAGGCGTGTTTAGCTCCTGGCGCACCATTGTCGTGCAGAAGCAAGCAAAGGTGGCAAAAGCGAAAGGCCTCTGGTCCGCTCAAACCGTGCCCAAGCGCTTCCGTCACTGGAAACTGCAAGTCGAACTAGCCAAGTGGCTGCGCAAGGCGATCGTGGTCGTATGGTAAGTCAGCTATGCTGCGTATGTGGTGGACAATTGGAATATGCATGAATTCGTGCCTGGTTTCTAGGCTGACTGTGGTCGCGCTGGAAACCCACAACTCAACACGGCAGTTGTTTCAAATACACAAAGCCCAGACGGTGCATCTCAGGAAAATCTTGAAGCGGTGGAAGCAATTCGTGAAGGACGAACGGTTGTTCGTTGTTAAGGCGACGGCGGCTATCTTTGCCAACGTACAACGACGTCGTCTCTGCTCTCTGCAGCCTCCATTGATATCGGTGGCTTGTATCGACTGTAGAAAGTGGAAGCATGGGCATTTCGCACGTGGAGAGTTCGCGTCGATGAGCGTCGGGTAATGCGATGACTAGTCTGCTCCCCACTGGTGCTCATGGATGTTGGGTGGATTGTGCAGCGACAACGGGACAAGTGTAAACTCCTGATGGCGCGATTCGCCAACCGCGCTCAAAATCGCGTGTGGCTGGCGTGGCTCGATTACGTGGCTCGCCGACGCGCCATCAAACGCGCGGCACTGCATTTCCAAGGGAACGTTGTATTCAAATGTTTTGCCGCGTGGCGGCAAGGCGTAGCCATGCAGCATGAGGAGCACGCTAAGCAATTGCGAATTGCCCGCCGGATGAAGAACCTGGTGGGGTCTCCACTTTATGCCGCCTTTTTTACAGGACGATGTACAGGGTCTATTCAACGCGGTTGCCCACTGGCGAGAGTATGCCGAAGACAAGGTATACGCAAAAGCGATAGCCGGGTAATGTTGCTACAAGCTATTTCAAACGCAAACCAACTGCTCGTACCATCGACATGGCGTGCTAGGCGCGCGCTGGCCTTTTTTCGCGGCGCTGTCGTCCTACGAGTCTTCCAAGCATGGCGCCAATACGCCAACAAGATGAAGTATTTGGTTGCTCAAGTAGGCTGTACATTTCGCCGACCCGTGCGCTGGGTTGCTCACGCGTTGGTATAGATGCGAAGTCGCATGCAAAGCCACTGCGTGGAGAGCTGCTTTCGCATGTGGTACCGATACAAAATGACCCGACGCGTGGAAATGGCATCGGCGACCAAAATACAAGTACGTCCTCGACTTCGTTTTGTCGAAGTCTTGGTTGGAATCGGCGGTGCATTAGGCGCTGTGGCGGGGAGTCGCCAGTCGCCATGACACGGAAAACCACTACTTTATGTATATTTGGGCAGCGGTGTCGTTGCAGCGAGCGTGGCGTGGGCGCTTTGGGCGTCTCTTGCTTCTCCAGGCAACCCGGCGTCGTCGCCTGCGCGAGTACAAGAAGATGGAGAGGGAATGGGATGCCATGGAGGCCGAGGACGCCGACGCCGCCGTGTACCGACGGCAGCTCAACATGATCCTGCTCATTCAACGAACTTGGCGCGGCAAGGCGGGTCGATCCTTTTACCAGCAACTGCGGAAGATGGTGTATATTCGAAAGCAACAGCAGCGACGGCAGCTTCAAGAGGTATGCCATCGCTGCCATCTGCAGACCTCGTGGCACGGTTGGAATCCATGGCTGGTCGTCACTAGATGATGGTCATTCAAGCCGAGCAGCGGCGGCGCGAGCGAGAGGATTTGGAGCGTCGGCGACATGCTGCTGCGACCGAGATTCAACGAATCGGCCGAGGTTACTTGGTACGTGGTCCTTCGACACAACTCGCGCCACGTGACTGGTTGTCCTACAGGCGCGAAAGTGGTTTGCAAAACAGCAAGAATTCCTTCGAGTGCGGCGGTGTGCGCTGCGCGTCCAAGCGGCGTTTCGAGGGAAGCTCGCGCGGCGGAAGATTTGCGCGATGCGGCGCCACCACGCCACGATCCTGCAAATGTACGCTCGTCGCAACATGGAGTCGAAACGACTGCGGACGCTGACGGCGCACACGCGGGAGACGCAAGCGCTGTTTCGAAGGTTCTTGAGCGTATTTGGACTCGATCCGGCCACGTTCTTGATGGACGTGGGGTCCTTGCTGCGTGAAATCAAGACGGATTTCATCTCGTTCACGAAATACTTTCTCCGAATGCAAGCAATTGCAAAGGAAGCCAAGACGAAGGACCGAGCAGCGCTGACTACCGCCGAGCTCAGGGCGTGGAAGGCACAGATGGAGGTGGCCGAGATGTCCCTAGCAAGTCACGTCAACCTGACACCAGTCACGCACGGCGACTCGGTCCGCATCATCCTGGCAGGCCATCCCCGCAGCGGCGAGACGGCGTATGTCCTCCACGTTCAAGACGATGCCGACGTCGATGTTCAAATGGCGGAAATCAAAATGGACAGCGACGGTGCCCTCGAATTCCTTCCGCTCTTTACGCAAGCGACACCGATCGAAGCGCCCAAGCCCGTCTTCTTTAAGATTCCCCCGCTGCATTTTCAAGTGCCCGTCCGAATCACCCCCGAGTGGAAGGCGGCGTTGGCAGCGTATGCCGACCAAATTCGTCTCGAGACCAAATACTTTTTGGCCGCCCGGACGATTCAATGTGCCGCCCGCGTCTACTTGGCCCGCGTGCAGTACCAGGAGGAGCTGCAGTCGCAAGGCGTAGTCACCGCAAGACGTGATGCGTTGCTGATTCGGTTGCTTACCACGCTCGGCATGGCGAACCAACGCACGGCCAGTGTGCTCCAGCGCTTGCGCCTCCTGACCTCCACCCCCAAGTAAGGGATATATTGTGTGTGGTCGAAATACCCGCGCGTTGTTCCATCGGTGGCTGTGTAGGGGTCTTCCCGACACGCCGTTGGCGCTTTCGGTCGTCCAAGATCGATTCGAACAAGCGTCAGCCAAGCGCGCCGAGATCCAGCACGCGTTTTCAACGCTCGAAGCGATTGTTTTCAACGGCACCGGCGCGTTTGCCAACGAATTGATGCCGTTCCGATTTCACAACGTCTTGGACAAGTTGGTGTTTCGACCTCTGCGACGGCTGCGCAATTGCACCAACGTGGCCATGGCACAAGCGATGGCGGCCAAAGGATGGTCCAAGTTGGCTCGGTACCTCCACCCTTCCCCCCCACGATTCCAACCAATCGTCTCACTCTTTCGCGGCGGGAGTAGGTTCGTTGGCGGCGCCGATTTTGTCCGCACGTTTGAGCAAAAGAACATTTACGTGCAGCAGGTCCAGTTCGAGCAGCTGCGCTACAGCTCGTACACGAATTCGGACGGGTGGGCGGTCGTCCACGGCGTGTTTGTCGCGTCGACAAACTCGGCCGTGCTGGACCATCCATCATCGTCGCTGACGCTGTCCTCAACCAAGCTCATTCCACACGGGTGGGGCGTTGCCAAGTTCCTGGAAGGGGTTGGCGGTGACAAGAAATGGGACTCCAAGCACTCGTTGAAAGCCAAGTTCAAGGCGCTGACGATTGTTCGGGCGATGCGACAGAAGGACCGCGAGGATCGGCTCCGAGCCCAGATCTGTGTCCACCAGGAAGAGTACAACGACTTGCGGTCCAAGGAAGGGCCGTACGGCTATGCCCAGCGACACGCCAAGTTGAGCGAGCTGGAAGATGCCATCAAAAGGCAAAAGGCGCGGTGGGAAGCCGAGGAGGCTCAGCGACGGACAGAAATCCACACTGTGTTTGCGGCGGAAGAGGAAATCATGGGGCGCATGCACGAGTTCAAGGCCAAGATGGTCAAGCACGGGGTCGTTCTGCGGGAGCTGCAGGTAACGATAGACCGCCTAGAGTAAGCGGAGCTCAGGAGTGGCTTATGTGTGAAGGCGCAACCGCCCGAGATGGTCATGGGGGTCGAGATCGTGCCAAGTTCGAAGAACCCACTCACGTTCTTGGCGCTGGGCTGCAAGATCGAGGTCGAATTGGACGATGGGCAGTGGCATGATGGCACTGTCGTGGCGCTGGATGTGGGCCTCGGGGCCAAATACACCGCAGACGTACTCATGTCATCCGACTATTCCGTCGAGCTCATCGAGCTCATCCCCAAGAAGAACCGAATGAAGGGGACTATGGCAGGATCGGCTCAGCCCAGTGGCGAGTCATCGGCGCAAGAGGTTGGTCCAAAGATGGCCGGCAGACCCCTTGACGTGCCTTTGCTTGCCCCATTGCAGGGAAATGCCAATGAAAGCGCTGCCGAAAAGAAGGACGATGCCGATGAATCGAGTGACGCGGACAAGACGCTCGTATCGACAGACACAGCATCGAACAAAGGTACCCAGTCGAAGGACGACGGCGCCGCCGCGGCGGGAGTCAAAACCGATGCCAACGATGGCAACGGCGCGGAATCCGAGACTGAGGAGGACAAACGACAGAAAGCACTGGAGGCACTGGACAACGCCGGCAAGCCACAGGAAGCCAAGTTGAAGCGCCTGGAGTTTCGCAAGTGGCGGATGGGGGGAGCGATCGATGTGTCGTGGGACGTTCCTTTTGAGAACGGGACCGCCATCAAGACGTACGTGCTCGACTGGGAAACGTCGTCGGCCACGGGGCAACTTTTTGTGCATGGCAAGCGGGACGAAACTACGGGCCGGCTCGGCCCCCCCGAGGCACGCCTGACCATAGGCCCGATCTCGATGGATGGCGACTTCAAGCTCACAGTCAAGGCGGAGAATGCTCGGGGCGTCGGGTTGGCCAGTCCGCTCGCGACCCTACTAGAGCCGCCAGCAGGTGCCACACAACGCCATTTATTCCTCCACTTGGTAAATGTTTGGGGACTGCTATAGCAATCAGCCACGAGCTAGCATTTGAATTCGCGCCACCAGCCATCGACACGTCCCCGATGGAAGCAGGCGAGCGCGGCACCATGGCCAAGGAAGACGCCGCCATGCACGAATGGATTCACCACCACACGTGCATGGTGTGCAAGGTTCGCTTCGACAAGTCGGAAGCGTTGGATCTGCACATGGGCATGGAGCACGGTCTGCCACTCGTGTGTCCTTTTCCAAGCTGCGCGCAGCCGTGTGCGACGTACCAAACACTTCGCTACCACATGTGGCACTGCACCAACACAAAACTGACCCCGACCGAAGCCACGATCCCACTGTTCCTTCGCAGCTTCGAGCTGTCGCCCAACTATTGCTTGAAGAAACCTCGCCGCCATCTCATGCCACCCACGCATCCCCAGGCCGACCAGGGCGAAGAGTTCTTTCTCGAGACAAAGTACCAAGGCGCCGTCACGACGTGGCTCCATTACTGTACGTCCACTTTAGCCATGTACTCTCCCTGAATTGACCTGCACGATGCGGTGGTGCAGCGCATGACCGGCACACCAAGCTCGTCCGTGAAACGAGCCGCAAACAGCAACGGAATAGCCATCTCACGAGCGCATGCGCCCCGCCAACCCCCCTGTTTGGAGTGGACTTTTTGTCTCCGGACGTAAACTTGAAGCTGCGCGACGACGCTCTTGCGCTTCTCGAGCGGTTGAAGGGCGAGCTGGTCCAGTACGTCGAAAACGCCAAGCTCAAAGTGTCGGGATGGAACCAGGAACTCGCCGAGCTCGTCGAGTACATTGAGATGAAGTCGAATCGGTTGGCGGGGGCGGAAGAAGCATGGCAGCGCCAGGCGCTCAAGAAGGACAAGAAAACTGCGACCAAGAAGAAGGAGCTCGTCGAAGAGCTCATGGCTGCATTTGACAAAGAGTACACGACGACCAAGGCGAAAATGGACGCCGAGATCGCGCGCCTCGATGCCGTCGTTGTCGAGTTGGTGCCGTTCACGCAACTTGTCGTCAAGGTACGATGCTCGAAGTTGGCTGGTTAACAGCAGTCATGCCGCTGCCCGTGCTAGGTGAACGAGCTCCGGTCTTTGCTGCAGCAAACGAGCCACCAAACGAATCTCGTCATGCTAAAGGACGAGACGATCACGTCTGCCCTGCACAACACGCTTGTTCAACTCATGAAGGCCAACGTGCAAGAGGTCGAGATTCTCGAAGCGCACGACCGCGCGATGGCAGCTCGAGCGCGGCAATTAAAACGATTGAAAGCCCATTTGAAAGAGATGCAACTGCGCCATCGAGCAGAAGTCGAAGTTGCACGGCTGTACGACGTCGAAGAAAAGGACGAGCATGAGCTCAAGGTGCTGCGAGACGAGCAGTACAGTTTGTTCAAGGAGCGCCAGGCCATTCGTGAAAATGGAGGTAGGATCGGACACCCGCGGTCGATGGCTGGTTTGATGCGTCCATGGACGGCGAATAGGCGACGACGAACTCTACTCGCCAGTGACAACCAAAAACCAAGCGCTTCAAATCGCCAACACGGATCCTGTTTTGTACGAGCGATTCGTGCATGGCCGGCGAAAGGACTTGGAGGCGGCCGGCGTGACGCTCGAGACGATTGTCCGGAGCGATATCGACAAGGAAGCAGCGGAGGACGAAGCGGCTATGCAAACGCGAAGGGAAAAGAAAGCTGCCAGGCAACTTGCTGCGTACGTGCGTCCAGGGGGCGTCAGGTTGGAGTCGAGCGATGTCTTTGACGACGGTGTTGCGCAGGGATAGCGCCGCCCCGACGTGGTTGAAGCGCCCGCGATCGACGACCCCAACCAAATACGTTCGGCTCGAATGCGCCTTTCACAATGGCCTCATTCATGGCGATGTCCGACCAACGGATGGTCGTGGCCGGGACTTGATGCTCCATGCTTCTCTAGGTCAAGATCGAGTTCAATGACGGGTCGACGTACGAAGGCCCGTGGGTCGAAGACTTGACATACGTCCAGCCATCGTGGGTCGTCCCGACCAAGACGGTGCACGTAAACCAGCACTGGGGCTCGTTTCTCTGCCCAGACGGGACCAAGTGGGAAGGCGAAGACGTAACAAATCAGTTCACCCCCCCGACAGCGTGCGGCACGTTTACGATCCATTGCCCGCACTTGAACACCCAGTACAAGGGGGAAGTTGCGAACGGCGTGTTTCACGGCTTCGGTGCGCCAGTCACTCCGAACGCCCCTCCCCCCATTCAATCGACATCGGTGTAGGCACGTTGTTCATGCACCGTGCTCTCACAAGTGGCGAGTACGTTGGCGAATGGAGCCACGGCGTTCGAGAGGGATACGGCGTCGAAATCTACGAGTCGGGCGAGCGCTACGAAGGCGACTGGGTCGCGGACCTGTACCATGGCCAAGGTAATCGCCCACAACGTGGGCAGCCACCACATGCCCACCGACCGTGTAGGATTTATCGAGTACGATGACAAGTCACGGTACGAAGGGTCGTTTCGATATGGCAAGTGGCATGGCCAGGGCGTTCGAACCAACGAATTCGGAGACCGTATCGTTGGTGTGTTTGAAAATGGCGCGCTGGATGGACCTGGTACGTTGTTCACGACGCTTCTTCTTGCGTGGGATGCCAACCTGTCGACGCATGCAGGCGTGTGTGAGTACAGCGACCGGCGCCACTACGTGGGTGAGTTTCGCCACACGAAGCGGCACGGTCGCGGCATCTTGACCTACTCGAACGGCGATCGGTACGAGGGTCCGTTTGTGGACGATGAGCCCCATGGCGAAGCCAAGTTTTTCACGCGCACGCCGGTCGAAGAAGGAGCCGAACCAGTGATGCGTGTGGGGCTATGGACGCACGGTTCGTTGCGGCATCCTTTCTGCTTGTGTCTCCATCGCTGTGTGCAGGAGAGCGGACCGCGTGGTTGTCGCGACCAGTGACCAAGTTCGCCACCCTCACGTTTGTCCAGTACTTTACGCGAATCCACCAAGTGAATACGGGCCAAGAGATCGAGCTCATCAAGCCCAAGTTCAAGTCTCCGTACGCTGTCATGGTGGCTGGCATGCTGCCCAACCTCCCGCTCGGTGTCGACCCAGACGACCCGTTTGTGAAAGCGATCGTGCGGTGCGTCTCGGCCGTTCATGTGTCGAGCTGTGGACGCAAACATGCCAATGGCTGTGGTGGTTGATGTTAGGTTGCTGGCCAAGACTCAAAGCGTCATGATTGGTGCCGACGTGCTGGATCGCACGGTGCTCCAACTCAACATCGTGTCCGAAAAAGTATTGGAGTGCTCGGCGACGCTGGAGCGGCAGCGCAACGACGTTGAAGTGAGCGCGCGCCAAGTCCGAGACCAAGCACGGATCGTGCGCGACGTCGCCATCGACCTCGACTGCGCGCTGGACAAGGAGGCGGAGATGCAGGTCAAAATCGAACGGTTCTGGAAGACCGATCCGCGGGTTTGTTTATGAGTTGCACGGTGTCCCGGTCGTCCTTGACGGAGCTCGGTAGAAAACGGAAACCAAGTACAAGGCGGCCGTCGTCGCGCTCAACGAGATCGACGCCATGGACTGGTATCGCGTACGTTGACCGGCCGTGGGAGGCAGAGACCTGACGCGGCCTGCCCAGGTTCGAAAGAGTAAACTCGACGACAACATCCGCGGGCTCCTGGAAGGATTTGCGGTCCTCTTGAATTTCAAGAGCAACTTGGACTTGCACGGCGTCCCGTACAAGCCAAAGCCGGACGATTTGCTCACGCTGCTGGGGTCCAGCGGGGAAAACGCTCTGTTGGTACGTACCTCGCAGCGTCAAGCCTCCGTGACACAATGCCGAGTGTAGGGCGACAAAGAGAGCCTCATTCACAAGTACGATGTCAAGGCGCTGTACGTTCTCCCGCTGTTTGACGTGTACTCGTTCGCGGAAGGCGCGCGGCACCAGATGCTCCAGAGCGTGACCCAGGTCGTGCACAACCCGCGACTGCGGCAGGGGAATCTGCGCCTCGCGATGCAGTCGCCGGCAATTCCAGTGGTTCGTCCAACCTTGATGATCGAGATGTGCATGACCGTGTCGAATCTGAATGTGAGTTGGTGACAGATCGTGGGATGGGTGCGAGCGGCGTTTACGTACGCCCAAACAGCGTGCGAAATCTACCCCGTGTACAGTCGCCTGATGGCCCACTTTGGCGTTGTTGAAGGGCTCAAAGCCGTCTTGAAGCGGGAGCAAGCGATGCTTGTCGCGTTGCAGACGAACGCAGCAACGTGTGCAGCCGCCCTCGCAGCCACGTCCGAGAGCCTCGAGTATTACAAGAAGGAAGAGAGTCAATTGCAAAAGACGATGGACGACATCAAGGAGCTCGACACGATGGAGGACTTGCCGACGCAACAAGACCGGGTGTTCAAAGCGAACCCGATTGCGCCGCAAGATCAAGCACGAATGGAGGCCGAGCGCGCGGCGGCGGCGGCCGAGTTGGCCGAAAAAGTCCAGGTTGGCCCGCACGACGAAAGACCGATCGAGAGTGTGTTGTGCACACGCTGACGCGAGGGTGGTTGTGCCACAGGCGCTCAAGCTCCACATCGCACACGACGAGAACTTGCGCAACCAGTTTGGGATTTTGAAAAAGGATATCCGCAAGGTGCTCGACCGCAACCAAGATGTCGTGCCCCTCCACAAGTTTGCCAAGCTGTACGAGGACGTGACGCACAAGCGCCTCAACTTGCAAGCGTTCGGTGTGAAGAAGCTCAAAGTGATCCTGGCCCTCACGACCGTACGAGATCGTCGTCGTGGCCGTCGGTGTTGATTGTCGCCATAGGATGTTTGCACGATCGAGTACAACGACTTTGGCGACGACTTGGTCAAGACCGTCGTCGATGCAGCCAACCCGTACGACCTGCCCAAATATGCCTTTCCATGCAAGCTGTGCGTGGGCAAGAGCTACGATTCGCACAACGAGCTCACGACGCATCTCCAATCCAAGTGGCACGCGATGAACGTCTACCTTGAAAGCATTGGTAAATGACGGGCACCTGCACGCTTGCTGACGAGCGGGTGACGCGTGTAGGTGCGCCGCCATGCGTGTTTGACCGGCGGTCGCGGCACTGGGTCGAAACCTACGACGCGAACAATCAAATTCAGTTTACAAACCGCATGACAGGTACGCCGAGGCGTGCGCGAGATGGTATCACGTACGACGACCGCACCAGGCGAAGTCGTGGCGGACAAGCCCATGGAGCTTCAGGCCGACGACGTCATGGTCGAAAACATGTTTCCCGTCCGCGACGAACGTCTGTTGCCGCCGCCGACGACGAACGACGACTTGGCGGATCCAAATGCGATCGTGCATTGGGAAGAAGTCGCCGACGACAATGGCAACGTGTACTACTGCAATCGCATCACCAACGAGACGTCGTGGACGCTGCCGGAACCGCCAAACACACCCGCCGAGTCGGAATGGCAGGAGTGCTTCGACGAGGTCAACTTGTGCCCGTACTATGTCAACACGGCGACCGGCGAGTCCGCGTGGACGATTCCTGTCCAACAAGGCAGTGGGAACAGCTAGGCTTTCGACAGAGACTAGCGAACGAGTAATCGAGCACATTGCGACAATTCAACAGTGACTACCCATTGCGCCATGCCGACTCGCCCAGGGGTTATCGGTGGCTGCTGTGCACCAGCATGTTTTGAAATGCGATCGGTGGGATGGCTCCCAGTATGTGCAAGGCAAGCATACCCGACACTGTCGGCGCATGCGGCACGAACGCCTTCCTTATTGAAAACCTCCAATGTTGACAGAATATCAACACCCTGCACTCGACTCTCGATCTGCATGAATGATACGCCGTCATGTCGCTCGTGCGTCAAATGGGGCCCGACGAGACACCTTGCAAGTTCGGTGGGTGTTGGCCAGCTCGACCACGCCGTGTCGGTAGTGTTGCAGGGACGACGTCACTCGTAGGGGAGCTTGTTGGTCTTCGCATCAGCCTCGTCGCGCGTTGGCGGATTCGAGGAGTCACGGGACAACCATGACAACTCGAGCCAGCAACGAGTACGCTAACGTCTGTACCGACCGCACCACATTTCGACGACTGTCATTCCAACTACTGGCAACACGTTGTCCTTCCAGCGCCTTCGTGGACAAGCAAAGGGTCAGGACCATCGCCCAAGTGGGCACCGTCGTCGTCTCGTCAAGCGATCGACGGCTACGTTGACATGTTCAAGTGTTGTTGCCGATGGTAATCCCTACCGCGATCAAGAAAAGCCGGTTTATTCGACTCAAAGAGCAGTGGCGTCATTGCTACAATCGATTTGCTGAGCCGTGGGGCAATGACCAAGTCGGATTGCAAAGTTTGGGGGAGAAGCGGGCGAGGCTTCGTGTGGAGTGGACTTGCTGCGTTGCTGGCACAGCACTGGATGTGTGCGCCCAAACGCAAAGACTGTATCGTACATGAGTTCATCAAGTTATCAGCGGTAAAATATCTTTTGAGTGGAAGGGGTCGAGGTGAGATGGCGGTCGTTTGCCGCGTTGTTGTTGAGGGTGTCGTGGAGGATGAGGGGCTCCGAGTACGTGACGAATCCTTGCTGATACAGCGAGTTTAAGTTCCTACACCATGCCTTGATCACTCGGATCCATCGTGACGAATCGTACCGTCGGTGGTATATATACGAGCCTCCAGTGCAGGCGCAGAGGAAGAAGAGAACAGCAAACCAGAACCACCACATGGCCAGCCACTCCAAGCCGTCCGAGCTGCAGATACGTACGCCATCGCCGCGTAGCCAGCATTCGGCCAGGCACACGTCGATCGTGGATACCGCCGTGATGAGGAGCGCAAGAGGTCGCATTGACGTCAGGATCTTCGCAATATTCAAAGATCGAAGAGTCGCCAGATTCGTGGGATTTATAATTCATTTGAAACACATATTAAAAACTTTTCGCATTATATTTGAATTCTTTTTAACCCATCCACCATCATGGATTCGAAATTCGTATCGCGGTGAGTAGAATATTATTTCAAAAATGGAATATTTGATTTACGACATCATATCCTCGTGTGGATTTCGGCCATCTCTCACGCGCACGACGCGACTCCATGGACCCATCGCTCCAGCGCACGTTCCGTGGCCACAAGTCGGGGGTAGAATGCCTTTCTTACAACCCAAACATGCGGCAGTTGGCGTCAGGGTCTCTTGACTGCACAGTGATGATCTGGAATTTCAAGCCCCAAATGCGTGCGTTTCGATTCCTCGGACACAAGGGTCCTGTGTTTGACGTGCAGTTCGCACCATCGGGGGACTTGCTCGCGTCAGCATCGCAGGACCGATCTGTGCGTCTGTGGATACCGACAGTAAAGGGCGAGTCGCACATGATCAAGGGACATGCCGGCGGTGTGCGGAGTGTGGACTTTTCTTACGACTCGGCCGAGCTCCTCACGGCGTCCGACGACAAATCCATCAAACTCTGGAGCTTGCCCACGCGGCGATTTGTGTGCTCGTGGAATGGGCATAGCAACTGGGTTCGGTCTGCTCGATTCAGTCCAGACGCGCGTGTGTTGGTGTGCGTCGACCGTCGGCCACCCTTCCCGGACTCATGTCCTCATTCCGTAGGTCAGGCAGCGACGACAAAACAGTCAAAGTATGGGATAAGGCGACACGTAATTGCCTTGCAACGTTTTTCGACCACAGCGGGATCATTAACGCCGTCCGCTTCCACCCCGACGGTACGTCACCTCCGCGATGTCACCGCGGCGTCCTCATCATCCGGCATGTAGGCAACACGGTTGGCGCGTGCAGCTATGACCACACTTTCAACCTTTGGGACGTTCGATCGCACAAGCTGATCCAGCACTACCCGGCGCATGACGCAAGCGTCACCTGCATTGACTTTCACCCGTCCGGGAATTACATCGCATCCACGTCGACGGATGGTACGATTAAGTTGTGGGACGTCCGCGAAGGCCACCTCCTCTATACCATGCACGGCCACAACGGCGCCGTCAACTGCGCCACGTTCTCGTCCGACTCCAAGTTTACCGCAACGGGATCGGTCGATGCGCTGGTCATGCTGTGGGACACGGATCTGGACAAGTGCTTGCACGCAAATGACTCGCACTTCCCCGTCGCCTTGCCGAAGTCCAAAGTGCTCAAGCACATCAACCAAACTCCCCACGCGACATCTCCTCGGTCGAGTTTGTCGACAGCAGCGCTGCCACTTCCAACGCCGTCGGTAGAGCACCATGAGAGCCCGTCCTCCCAACCCAATCGGCCGTTTGTCACGCAATCGCCGGCGCCGCGTGTATCACCAGCAACTCCGCCGGCCTACACCTCCGCCAGACAGCACCATCGCACGCCAAGCCAAGACTACCTGAATCCGTCCGCCATCCTCCCCACACCTCCATTCCATCGCCAGTCGAATGAGTTCCAAACGGATCGTGAAGACGCGTACGACATTCAAGATGTTCATGCGGCTCCGTCGGCGCCACCGTCGCCCGAAGCAAGACAATCTCCCCTACCGCAACAGCAACGTGTCATGCCGCTTCCAGTCCCCTCGTCCACTTCACGGCGGGGATCAACAGCCTCACCAACGCCGTCATCCATCCACGGCGCGACCGACGAGTCGCCGCTACCAGACCACGTTACTGCAACCTTCGACCACATCGTCGGGCAGCTGGAAATCATCACGCGGACACTCGGGATTTTGGAAGAGCGTCTGTGTCACGTCGAGGACCGCATGTCCGACGTGACGAGGGTGCAGAGCCAGGTCTTGCGAATGCTGAACGCGACCCAGCTGAATCCACCGCAGCAAGGCGAGAGTTTGCCGCATGCGGAGTGACGTCGTTTTTATCGGCATAGTTTCAAAACAGTACAAAAGCAAGTTCAGACTTGTTTTGTTGAACGGGGTTGGCGATGTTGATGGGCAATCAGTCGTGGTGGTCGTCAGTCCAGGTCACGAGGGGCGTCGTGTCTGCAAAGTGAGGCAGTATCGCTTCCCATGTGTCCTATAGGGCGTCCACCGTCGCTTCGAGCTGCTGGCCCTTGGTTGGCAATGGTCTGCTGAAAATTTCTCCGATTATATTCCTCTTCGCGTTGGGCTATAGTAACAAAGGCAGACGGCAAGTGCTTCCAAGCATTCCTAACCCATCCTGTGTGCGAAATACGTCTATGCGTACATGAACATTATGGTTTTGCGGAGAAGTGCTGACATTTGCTACGGTCTGGCCATGCCCATCGTCCTAAACGAGGGGTACAAGTGCAACAGGTGAAAAGGAAACTAACGTTATCCAAAAAGTCAATGATACTCAAAATTGTAGAATATATTTGCAGAAATATTTATGTTAGCACGACGCTAATATTCGACACAAATCCTTATTCGAAACAACTTCATCCAAACGCACAGGCATGCTGTCAGCAAGCGACTTCAAGTAGTCAGTATAGCAAATTGCCGATTAAAATTCAGACGCATTGTCAAATTGTCGCCACTTTCGTAAACATGGGGGGGGTAGAATACCCCAAACGTTCTCAAAAACGTTCAAATCGGGGCTCTTGAAAGGTCAGTCCATGCGGAAGATGCCAGATTCATAAAAAGACTTTAACGTCTCCTTGGAAGCGCGGATAGGGGTCTCAACCGCTGAATACGTCTCCAGCGCCTTGCAATACTTCCCCAAGCTTATTCGACCTTCTTGGAATGAGATATCTGACTTCCTCCACATGCTCACGGCACCCCAGACCATAACACTGCCTCAACCGCTGACCCGCTTCGAGAACAATTTTTCGTCACGAAGAGGTCACGCCAATACGCGCGGTATCCATCCGGGCCGTCCAAGTTGAAGTTCTTTGCGTCCGCGAAGACAACTTGACGCCGAAAATCCTGCTTGCTTTGAAGCGAAGACACGACGCGCCTTCTTATTTTGCGGTTTTAAGTACGACGCCGGATGTTCTTCGCGTATTTGATGAACTTGCTCGATTTCAGCACGATGAACAAAGTGTAGCCAAAATTGTCTTGGCGCTGCTAAAACGTTTTGTACGATTGCGTTGCGGTAAATGCAACGTATGTCGCACTTCGTCAACTTGACACATCTTCCCGATCGCTTCTTCGTACTGTAAAATCCGGGAAAACCAGGTACGAACGCACTAGTGACTCAGGTCGTTTGAGTGGACGTCCAATGTCGCGACTTGATATATACTCGTGCTTCCAGGCCAATCTTTGACCTATTTCAATGCCGGTCAGCTTGGTACTCCTGGACATCATGCACGGTTGACCAATTTTGTCATGATTCGCTACATGAAGTTGCCTGTTGGTAGACCAATTCCCCGCACCTCTGTGTCTATTTTGAATGCTGTTTTGAATTTAAATAATTTAGAGCGCAGTCCGCATATAGATATTTCGATGCCTCAAGCAGGGGTTCTTTCACCAATTTCATATATGTTCGCAATTTCAAGCTCACGGGCTGTATCGTACTGTAGACATTGCTCTTGGTGGTAAACACAACATGGGAAGCAATCTCCGAAGTCTTGGTGTATATTTTATCTGGCATGAATCACAATATTCTGAAGATTTCATAAGTATTGTGCGCACAGTACCACAATTGCCTCCAACCCACGTGCACCATGCCATGGCAACGGGAAAGATGGTTGGCAGCGTACCAAAACTCGCTTGGTCTAGTGCTTTGGCAGGTGGTGTCCACACGGTCGCGAATTCTTTCGACTGGTTGGCTCGGAACGCAGTCTTTGGGAACCAATCGCAGTCTGCGCCATGGCGGTCGCAAGTATTTGGAGTTGGTGTGCATCAAGTGATGTAGGAAGTTGGTGAAAGAACCCCTGTATGAGGCATCGAAATATCTACAACATTGCCCGTTCAATGTGGCCAAACCAGCAATCGATGTGGTTTCGAAGTTTTAATTTCTTCGAACGTCGAAGTACACCTGGAATCTATTTCATTCAAAGTGGTTTAATCTGCAATAAGTGACAAAACGACTAGTTCGCTTGAATGTGAATAAAGCGATGAAAGGACGATTGCGAGTGGATGAACAGTATATAATGATGTGGTTGATGATTAATACACCGCACATACGAATTCATATCGTTGTCATGTCAGGAGAGAATGAGCTTCGATGAACATGTGCAAATGCGCAAATCGCCACTGAAATCGCATTATACCTAGGAAAGAGAATGAATGTCAATAACGGACAAGAAAGGCTCAAAAACCGGACATGATGGACGCTTATCCGTTATATGAATACTAAACGGATTTCTAAAGGACATTTGGATAGAAAACGTCGGTTATTTGAATACAAAACGGCAACAAACGGATTTTTCACCAGTGTAAGAGGGTAAAGACGTCTTGAACCACACACGTGTCGAACGGTCCAGGAGAAGCGGTCGATGGCGGACAAGGAGACCCGACGCAATGTGATGCTGGAAAAGTCGCTCAAAACCCTCAAACACGAAGCGGAGACGTTGAACGCGGAGTGGAAACGCAAGGCGGAGGCGGTTAAGGTCGGCGACGCCATGTTGAAGCAGGTGCGACCGCTGATTCCTTTGTACACATGGCTGACAGGACGACGCAGAAAGAAGCGACGCTGCGGGAAGCCAAGACCCGCATGGAAAAGTACCTCAAGCAATACGACGTTCTGTTTCGAACGACCCATCAGTTCACGGAAGCTATGGAGACCCAATGGCAAAAGTACGCGGCCATGTCTGGCCGTCGAGTGATGGGAGGGCCGTAGAAATGTCGAGTTGCAGAAAGAAAACACCCAAACGGAAGCTGAGATTCGGGCGAAGGAAGAGATCGTGGCCAAGATCGAGAAGGACTGCGCCAAGATCGAGCAACTCGTGGGTCTCACCAAGGAAAAGATCGGCCAAGTCGACCAAGCCAAAGGTAGTACACGCGCCAGTCCACTTTGCCTTGACACGGTCGTCCAGACAAGATCGATGCCACGAAGGACGAGTTCAAGGTCGCGTTAAACGAACTGGTCAACGTCACGATCGAAGTCGAGCGAAAGCATGGCGAAGCGATGATGAAGACCCTCGACGATTTGTTGCGTCAGCGTGAGCTGGTTGGACGTGGTGATCCCGTGGCCTCTCTGACGTGCCTGTCCCCAGGTGAACAAGATGCTCGTGCGCGCGGCCGACACCGCCCAGGGGACCCACGACTTGACCAAAATCCAAGAAAACACGACAAAGAACCTGGAGAACGAAATCAATGGATACCACCAAAGCGTCAAACAGCAGCGGTACAGAGTTGGTGCAGCGTGACCACTGACGATGTCTCAGGGACATGGTCCAGCAGCTCGTGTCGGAG